ATGAAACAAAATAACTTATCTTTTAAAATAGAATGTTTAGAAATTAATGAAATGAAAAGGCAAGCAATAATATATCATATTGTAAAGTTATGAAAAGTCTATTACCTTAAGATTGGCAAAACTCATGATTTATCGATTTATTTGATTTAAATCGCTATTTTCTTTTAAATATTAAAAATTTTATAATAAAATAAAAATAATTTTTAAAAAATATGCTTTTTTGAGGATAATGATTCCTGAGGCAAAGTTATTAATGGAACATGAGTTTATTTGTAAACCAATTGTTAAATTAGCAATAGTATCTTATTTATGAATATTTATTTGATAATTTATGTTTTATAACAATTACGATTATATAATTTATAATTACAAAAAAAGTTAGCACTTTTTTATTAATTAATTAAATCAACAATTTTTTTACACGAACTAAGAATTACTAGTTTTAACTACATCCCAATTAATCTTAATCACAAAAAAATATTTTATTAAATAAGGTAGAGGGTTTATGTCTTTATGATATCTCCTCTAATTTAACAAAGTAACAAATATTTTAGATTTTATATAAAAAGTTTATTACAACCCCTCCCCCCTCCCAATAAATAATAATTTTAGGATTAACACATTTTAAGATCATTTTTTTATAATAAGAAAATTTACCAATTATTATGAAAACTTAACTTAATACAAAAACATCGCTAAAATGAGGTATAATAAAATGTTTTTATTTGAAAATAAAAAAAACTAATAGTTTTTAAACAAAAAATTGATTTAAAATCTGATTCTAGTTTATCTTGTTGCATTAAACTAATTTTTATGGAAACCTTCTTCTTTATTTATCTCCCAAAAACTATCAGTTTGATAAATTCCGTTTCCTTACCACATTTATTCAAATTCATATCCAAGGCATCTAATGAGCCTCTGCCGGATATGGCATCAAAAATCTCCACTAGAATAACTCCCCTATAAATTCTTATAGACTTCACCTATCTCCCCTTATCTATTGACGCCTTTCGAGTTGATGTATGCAAGTATATTGACCTACTATTATAGAATTCTAAAAAATATATATAAATTATCAAAAAATATTAAATAACAAAGCTTTTTTCGCCAAATTTGAACGTGCTCCGCCAAATATATTAATAACCTTATATAATTTACATGTACTATTTTAACATGTATTTTAATTAAAAAGAAACTGGATTTATTTTTTCAAAGAAAAATCATGAAGAATGCATTTTTTTTAATTGTAAGGTTGTAAAGCTGGGAAATCTCCTATTATTTAATTAGTTTAAAACATGGTTTTTTTTATATATCATATATTTTTTTAAAGAATGCGGTATAAACCTTCCTTACATAATATAATTTAAAATATTCTAAAAATTGATTATATTATTCCTCTTCCTATATTAAAAAATTGTTAATTTTAAACATTAAAAAATCATGATTTAAATTAATAAATCATAATGTATTTAAAAAATATATAACCAGTTTTGTTAAATAACCTATTCTGTCCATATTATATGTGTTCAGCAATGTGCTTTTATCCGAGAACTTGTTATTTTTACAACTTTAAATCATTTTTGAGCGCGTTATTTTAATTTAAAAATCTAATTTTACCCGAAGTATTCCAGCATGTTTAGAATACTTATCTTTTGAATTGTTGATAATTTTGTCGTTAACCTTTGAGTAGTTTAAAATTTATAGAAAAAATCTATAGAAAAACTAATATAAATTATATTTAGTTCAAAAGTTCATGGTAAAATTGTCTGAAATTTATAGGGTAGGTATTCCAAACATGATGGAATACCCTTCTGGTAAAATCAGATTTCTTTAATTTTATAAAAAGCGCTCAAAAAATAATTTAAAAATAACACATTGCCGGAAAATGCACATCGCCACTAACATATATTATATATAGATAGATATACAATACTTGCTCTAGACTGATGATCATTTATTAATAAGCAATTTGAAGTGTCGTTGAAATTTAAATCTGCTAGTGACGCCAATATATAGGAATTCTAAATTTTTTTTAATTTCATAAAATTTGAATATAAATTATTTGCATATCAGAAATTAAAATGGCGTTCACCAGCGATTTTCATTGATAGTAGGGATGTGCCGATCTCCAAATTTTTTATCAATCCGATTCGATATTCATATAAAGCCGATATTTGAATTAATTTTATTTACCATCCTATTTTTGAATCAATGACATAAAAAATCAATTTATTCCCTGCAAAAAAAATTATTAACTTTAAACTAAAGGTTTGGTCATCTCTGCACTAAATCTCGGCTCGAACAAATTCCGGGGAAGTTTTGTAAATGTTTTTAAAGCTGATAATTATACAAATTTATGTCGTTTTCCTTTATACAAAATTGCGGGTCAGGTGCCAGACAACTTAAAACTATATTATACGGGCCGAGCCAAAAAACCCCGATAGAAAGTTTTCAAGGGTGCCGCTACTAACTACTATATAATTATAGGCAAGACAAGAAATACGTTGAAATTTCCCATTTCTCTAGGCGATATTTGGTAATATGTGCATTTTGTTTTTTTTATTCTCCACCAATAGTATAATGTCATTTGGAATACCGGCAATGTTTATGGCGGAATGCGTTAAATATTTTTAAATTCGTTGCAAATAATATAACAAAAATATAATATCCTATTTTTGCTACTTTTGCCTACAAAAAATAGTTCAATTGATTTTTTTTTAATATTACAAATTCATTGAATTTTAGTTCCTTTTTATCCATTATTATTAATTTAAAAGTTATGTATAAAATGAAAAATATATAATAATTATTTTATATATAAATACAATCGCCAAATAATTAAAACAATAATAATATCTTATCGGATAGGTTTTTTTTGAAAATATTATACCGATCTGATTTAAAGACGGTAAATATCTCGCTCAATTCGATATTTGATGCCAGCATAACCCTGAATTCACAGTTAGCGTGAATTCGCGATGAGTTTACAGAATTGACGTAGGAGAATATAAAAATAGAGCATATTTTGTATTCTTCGCCGTCAATTCGCGCCAACTGTGAAGCAAGATAATCCTAATTATTACATAATCCAAGATTTTTTTTGGTCTTTTATCCAAAAAAATACATGCTTAGAAATGTATAAAAAATATAGATGACATTATTTAATTAATTTCATCTTATTTTTTTTTTCTTTTTGTCATTTTGCCTTCTCTCATTACAATAGTTTAGAGTATATATATAATATATTTTAACGAATTAGTTCAATATACTCGAGTGAATTGTGTTGCGTGGTATGGTATACATAATTAAAAATGATTAATATTATTATAATTAGAAATTATCTTTATGATTTATTAAATGTGTTGTATTATAAATTTAATTTGTATCATGCGACAAAAATAAATTGAAGCGTTTTCGTTTTGCGGTATTTTTCAAACAATTCATTTCAATTATTATCTTTTTTTTGCTTTATTATTTAAGAAGACTGGATTAATTTAGACGAAACATTTTATAAAAAAACAAACGCTAAACATGCTCAATTTAGCAGCACTATAATTCAAGATAGAATGGGGGGGGGGGCAATTTGGGATTGCGCTCTTTTATGTGAGCCACAAGTTTCTTACATTTTATAAAGTAAGCTAAAAATTTTCTTCATTTCATCTTCGGTAATATAATTTTTTTAATCACGTACTACTGTACTTTTTTCTATCTAGTTAGCATGGTTAAGAGACCATTTTTTTTATTAAAGGACACTATGACAAATCAGTTCTATATATTTGCAAGTTTTTACCTAATTCTATATCGATATAAAAGTTCTGAGTTTGGTATTTTTTTCGGGGAGATCTGTTTTCCATTTACATTTTTTTTATAATTGTCCTTATTTTTTTATACACATGAAACATATTTTTAGAATATCAATTTAAACTATATATAGTTTAAATAGGTTGAAAGGTGATAATAAGATATTCATTGTTCGTTTAATTTATATATATTTAACAACCTCTTCATAATAATTTCTTAATTGCTTCGTTAAATTTTGTTTTTTTCGGTTCTTATTTCCTTTTTTAAACGCACCTATAAAAAATAACTAATTATGAATATGAAAAATAAAAGAAAGAAAGAAAATTTTAAAGACCTGAATTCGAAAGTTCTGTCAATGACACGTAATTTCATTTTCTGTCCAAGTCATAATTGGTATAATCATATAAGAATTCTGTGATCCAGCCTCGGTCGGGCTTTATTTTTTTCCGGACCGGCATGTCTGTTAACCGGCATAGGTTGGGCTCCTAAAAAAGATTCAATGTCTCTAGGTCCAGATATAGTTCAGGACTAAAATTATAATTATAGGAGTTGACTACTGGTCCTTGATATTGACACTAGTGATCTGCATAAGTCCTAATTTCTCGAGCCTCGCCCCATCGCGAACGAAATTTTTTTAAAAAATATTCTATAAATAAATATATTAGCACCTTATTTCTTGTAAGAATTTTAATATATCTATTTGACAAAATATAATGATGTCATATTTAAAAATTTAAGCCCGATTGCGCCCGGCCCAGCCCGAACCGAAATTATTTTTTAAGAATGGACCCGGCCCGAAACCTGTTCAGACCGGGTACCGGTCGGGTCGTGATTTGTAGATCTCTAATTGACACTCTTAAGTAGACTCCCTTCCCTGCTAAACCTTATCTATTAATGACTATCTTGACCAATGTAATGGTACTTAACGGGAGGGAATATATCAAAAATTTAAATGAAACATATCGATATCCCCATCCTTTACAATGCAAAATTTAACAGGAAGTTAAAACTAAACATAGATAAAGTTTAGTTTACAAATTTTGCTAAAACTTTTAAAAAGGAATAAATTATGTAATAATAAAAAAGGAATATCGAGTATATCAATTATGAGGGAACAATTGTCTTCAGAATTTAAGAATTTTTTAAAAAAAAATGATGATAATAAATGTATATAAGAATAAAATTTTATTATTTGACAGAATTCTACTGTGGGACAAAATGTGCTGGACTACGTGGGTCAAAAGCTGGAATTGTCGGAAAAGGATTATTTCGGGCTCAGGTTCATGGAAAACAACAAGCAAAGGGTTTATATGCAAATTTAATCAATTATATTCACCTATAGGTTAATTCGACTGGATCTTGAGTAGTCTTGTCCCAAAAATAAAATCTAAAACTTGAGACGCGAGTTAAATTTTTTTCTTTCGGATTTCCTCAAGATTGAGCCATTAATCGGCTTTAATATTGCAGCACCATTATTAATCATCCTTTCATATTATTGCTTTTTGAAAAAAATCTGTTTGTAAGCATTTTTTTAAAAAAAAGGATTAGTTTTGAGTTGTCATCTTTTCGATAAAGAAAAAAGAAAGACTTTCTTTTTTGCTGCGTGATGATGGGTAAGAAAAATTTCTCTCCTAAAAACTAAAATTTAATCATAAAATGAAATATTTTTTATAAATTCTTCCTATTTTCCATGATTTTTTAGTATTTAATCTACCACTTTGTTTACACTATTCTAATGTAATATAGAATAAGATTGAATCACATACACTTAAGCTTAACTTATTAATCCACAGAATAAACCATTTTTTAACATTTAGATATAATTTTTATTTTATTTGTTTTTTTATATCTGACAAATTTTTGCCTTTGTGTTGATCCAAAACCCCAAAAATATATCTTAAAAATTAAACGAGTTTATATCGATTTTTTTTCCCCGTTTCGGTCTATGTGTTTTTTTTAAAAAAAAATGTAATTATCTTTTTTCATCGAAAACACCAACAAATTATGGTTTTTTTAGTTAGTGCGAATTTTTTAAAAAGGCAATTCTATTTAAGGATTGGATTTATGATTAATTTCTAAGCGGGAATATAAATTTACGAATTTGATGAATTATTTTTCCTTCTATAATATATTCATTTAATTTATATTTCTTTCTTTTCGCCAATTGAATTTTATAATAATTTTTTTAAAGATTATTTGAAAATAAACTAATGATTAGTAAATAATGAATAATCATGGCGTTAGTTTTGTTAATAATTAAATTTTTTATAAGAAAGAAAGAATTGATAAGTAGGGATTACTCTATTTAAAGTAATGGCATCTATAGGGATTATCATTATTCTAAACGGCTCGATTTTTTTTAAAATGGTAACTCAATATTTTCCCCAATAAATATTACGCAAGCCTGAAAATTTTGCTCATAGATGACTGAAAGGTTTGGACGTCTACGAAATATTATAGGCTCGCATAATAATTATGTTAAAATCTTAATTTAAAATTGGTTAAATTGAGCCGTTTTTAACAACATTGATTTTAAGTGCGCTAGATCATATTTTATTCCCAACTTTTAATTCCCTTCCCCTCAATGAACAAAGTTTTAAGATTTTTTTTGCACTATAATTTTAATATACAATTTATTCTACTATATAATTCTCGTATTACAGCACTGGCTTCATCCCATCAAACTATTGGTCCGACAATTTAAAAGTAATCATTATTTTTTAAATTTGAAACTTAATAAAAAAAAATTTAAATTTGCTCTCTCTCTCTCTCTACATGTTAATGTATATATTCTATTTGTATTTTTATTTAATTTTATTTAAAATGAAAATCAATTGAGCTTTTGGATAAATTATTTTCCAACCATAATGTAACACATCTATTTAGAGGTAGTACGGATCATGGCGCGACGTAATTTATGTATCTTAATTCAGAAAATAAGCCTGGACACCATTTTTTGGTTTTTTCAAATGATAGATTTTGAGATCGGGGGGATGGGGGGTCTATAAAATACTAAAAGGTATACTTATTCCTTATCTAAAAAATCGCTATTAAGAAGAGATATTTTGAATTCTTTTTTATTATAGAATTTTGAATTTAAAATAAAATAATAAGAATTTATAAAAATTTTTGTAAGCAGACTATAAGTCAAGGTGATTTTCAATATATCCAATTTTACCTTATAAATTATTCATCAGCTTGAGATGCATTATTTCAAACTTCTTGCTAAGAAAGTTTAAATCCTGCTTTACAGAACTTTCGCATAGACCTCCTGAGACAGTTTGTGCCTCCTAAATAATTTTGCTTATGAATCAGGAAACTAACTCATTTTTTCCCCTAAGCCCGGCTCCAGACCAGGTTCAGAAATTTTCGTCATTTTATGAACGATTTCTGCCCAAAAAAATGAATATTAGGTTACTTCCAATTTTTTTTAATAACCTATTCCAGAGTGAAAAAAAAACTTCAAGAGATTTAAAATTCGGATCAAAAATCTTTTGAAGATCATATAACTAAAGATTTTTTATTAAAAATCAAAATAACAAAATATTTTTTTATTTTTAAACCAGAAACTGGGTTCGGCTTTTCCCCTAGGCTTCTACCGAACCCGGAACTCTGTATTTAGCATTGTCTAATCATAAAAAAGTGTTTTAAATTTATATTCCCCATTTTTTTTACTAATAGATGTGAGTCCGTACGTTTTGTGCTTCCGGGTCAGGTTCTACCCGCCTCACCCAGACTTATTGCAAGAGGACATAGCAAAGTATTTATTTTATAATTAATAATTATAATAATAAAAGCCATTATATTTCTTGACAAAACTTTAACTTATTTTATCACGATATTGATTTTTTTTCATACTTAAATTTCGGTTATATACAAAAAGGATTTATTATAAAATAATCTAACGTCCTTTGTGACTCTTAAATTACTTTTTTTACAAGAGAGCGATTTTTGAAATTTAAAAAAACCATCATACCATCTGTTTAAGTAAGCCTTATAAAACTTATTTAAAATTAATTTTTTTTAAAAAAAAAAAATTGATGGGAGTGGAGAAGACGCCAAATTATAAGATTTTTACGCTTAAAAAATTTGGACAATAAAAGTGTTGACTTTAAACGGATCGATTTTGTCAATTTGAAATTAAGATATTCGCCAAAATAATATTATGAATGCCTCGATATTTCGATAATTGATGTCGAAACCTTTCTGCCATATATGAACTTCAGGCTTGCGTAATATTTTTTGGCTATAATATTGGGTTAGCATTTTTTTAAAATCGAGACGTTCAACAACACTATATACTTTATACAAAAAATGTTACATTTATCTTCCTCCCGTTTGAAGGTATTACCTTTTTTCACAGCTGAGACGAGATATGCTGCACGGACGATTATTCACTCACAACGACGATGGACCGCTACTGGCGGCTTACATTTTGCAATGTAAAAACTGAATTTGATATTATTAACTTATATTTTGCGCTTCTGGGTTATTCTTTCGAATGTGATAATTAAAAGATATCGATCCATTTTTTAATAGGTCGATCTGTCCTGATTTTCATCTACACACGAAAAATACCCTTTTTTAAAAAATAACCCATGATTCAAATATTAACATTAAATCTATCATGAATAATTTTTCTACCACCATTTTTATATATCGGATTGGATCACCGATATTTCTAAAATGCGAATGACAAGCCGATCTGATATTCAAAAATCGGTGCATCTCGTAGTACATTTTCGAAAAGGGTGTGAATTGGATGATCATCCTTGTTCGTTAGATAAGTTTTTAGAGTTAACATTATTTTCTTTTTATTATTATTTTTACTTCAGTTACAATATCCGAGATAAATCAATTGATACCAAAATATTTTTATTGCTATTACAGATCTAAACTTATATAATAAATGTAGTTAAGGGGCCTAAATATTATTTAATCTTTTTAATTAATGATTATTACATCAATAATTTCTCGACCAATGTAATTTTGCGATTTCAAAACCAAAATGTATCACTTGATAAATCAGACAAATATCTTTTAACGTTCCCACGAGATAAAGTCAAAAATTTGCTAAATAAAAATAAAAGAAATTTGTATTAATTAATTTTTGAATAACTCTATCAATATATCATATCATTACTATTGAATTGAGTTATTAGCTCTTGATATTGGCACTGAGAGGCAATGTTTTAAAAACCAATACAATATTTAGATTTATTGGATTATATTGGTATCGAAAACCAAGAAAATATTGGTATTATTGCCAGACCTGCTTAGAAAAAGTAATTATTATTTAAGAATTCAAAAGAAAGAAAGAAAAGAATATTTGTACAATTTAACCATGACATTAAAATTGTGCGCCACATTAATATTTTTTTAAAAAAAAGCCGAATTAGGTGATTTCGATCCGGAAGAGATGAGTGCTAACTATGTTTCCCATCACAGATTGCTCATGAAACAAACTCCAAAAATCGAAGAAAAAATTGCCAATTTCCACAAAACCTTAAGGTTTTACATTCATTATAATATTATAATCGTATGTTAAAGATTTCTTTTTTTTCTCCTAATTTTATCTATCTAATTTTTTACGAATATGACATTAAGAAAGTCTTATGATCAATTGATCTGCTAATTTAAATAAAATAAGAACAAACTTTCCTCGATTTTTATCCATCACATCGATTTATAATAGGCTACATAATTTTTTGAAGGAATTAATCCTCGATCCATAGACTCACGACTCCTTTCCCATCTTATTTATAAAGTCAAAAAATATATATTAAGGCTTTTAATAATCTCTAGTCCTCATTTGTATGTCGTATATTTGAAAGAAATGAAATATGGAAGAAAGAACGTAGGAGAAGTGAGAAAAAACGTTATCATTTTTTGGGATTTGGAAAATGTTTATTTTTGTTTTCTAAAAAAATTTACCAAAATGATAAGTTGAATTCTTCATTTAATTCAAGATAAATTATGCATTTATTTATTTGATTGTAATATCAAGAGGTCAAGTTCCTTCCGTCGCCGAATTGTATTTCCTGAAGAAAGCATCTCAACTGGAGACCTATGGTGTTGACCCATATCCCGTTAAGGTATATTAATACTTTTTTTTAAAAAAATGGAAATACGTGATAAAGCGTATACGCCCTCTAAACTTTGTAGGTACAACAGAGCTACGCTAGGTAGTTCTCATTTTCATCAAATTGGATATTAATAAAAAAAATTCGGGGAAAAAAATATGAGAAGCCCTTTACACATTTGTGGGCAAGCCACACATACTTGTACGCCTAATATCCAAGGACTATTATTTTAACGTCTGTGCCCTGATTGAAAGGGAATTGGGCCAAGATTAACAACTCACACTCATAACCTATAGCTTATATTTAATTACATTAAGAATAGAAGTATGGCCAATTTTAATTTATTGTATATTAATATTTATTGAGTTAATATGTGATTAAATTATTAACTTGTAATTTTGTTGAAGGTAATTGTTTCAACTATCATATTTATAATGATAGTTGAAAGGAAAATGAATAAAGTGGTAAGGCATGGGAGAAGAGAGAGGGATTTTATTTTAAATCTTGATTTAATCTTTAAAAGCTTCTTAATTGATTTTTTTATTATTGTTTAATTTTATAAATTGTTTCCAATTCATATTCAAATCTGTAACGTCCTTCAATACTCGGTGAAACCAAAGTGTTTTGTACTTGATATATTCCATTAAAAGAAGCCATGTAAGAGCGACATAGACTAAATTACAATTGGGGTTTCTTAATGCATGAGCTAAGAATTTTATTCGTTTTTTCTTCAGTGTAATGTGGGTTGGAGTGTGTTTTGACAGCTTCCATAGTTTATCATTAGAGATTAGTCTCGGGTAGAAAACACCATTAACATTTCTTATCTTATTGATAAATGTCTGAAGTTTCCTATTGTCGGCCTTGTTAATTTCCCATGCTTCACCTCCGGATAGCAGGATAGGGATGGCAGTGGAATTAAAATGGTTAGTCTTGTGAAGGCCGGTATCTTCTTTGCCTTCTAGATCTGGAAGTACCTATAAACTATCTTAGCATTCAGTATCCTTAATTTTAGTTCTTCCTTGTAGCCACCTCTATTGTCTAGGGTAATTCTAGGATATTTAATTTTTATAGCTACATTGATCACTTCAGATTTTAATTTCATTATTTCTCATAGGTGGTGTATGTCTTGCTAAAAAAATCGTAGTTTTGTTCTACATTCATGCTTAAGGATTTTAATATATGAATCAGATTGTAAGTTTCTTCTAGGTCTTTAGTATTAATGACTGTCTTCGGCATAGGATATAATCCTATTTTCTAAATGGTTTGTGTTATTTGAATTTAGTTTCAGTAGATTAGCAGCATTTAAGGTATCCTTGAATATTTTCTTTATTACTATGTTATAGAGAATAGGGAAAGAACACAGCCTTGTTTTACTCCTTTCTTGATTCTAAAAGGTGGAGAGGTTTAATGGTTTCTTAGAATCTTTATTGCTTCCGATTGTATTTCCAAAGGGCTTCATGATTCATGCTGTCAAAAGTTCTTTTGAAGTCGATAAACATGAAGAAGAATGACAATTTATACCTATCACATTTTTGGATAATAATTTTAAGAGTGAGAAACGGCTCCATGCTTGTCTGGACGATACGCACAAATATATTTGTAGAAAAAGTTTTGTGACGTTTCTAGAATGCGTTGAATACCCAATAGACTATATTATTAAAAATTATGAGTAGGAAGTTTAGTACAGCACTCGATGCCGCTTTGAGATGTTCGTTATCTGGACCAGGAGCTTTACGGTTTCTGAGTTTTTTTAATGCAGTAGAGATTTCAGTTATCGAAAACTGTGAGGTGGATTGAGATATAGATTGTTGTTTAGCCGATATTATAGCCGGTTTCCTTGATTCAAAAATGTTCATGTAATAAAATATCCGCAATGTCATCTGATCATCCTGGTCAATTATCAATCTCATTTGCCCTAACAGTGATAATTCTTCTGTCAATCCGTATTGATTTTTGAATAGTTTGCCAGAGTTTCAAATCAAAGTGACCTCTTGAGCTAAGCTCCTCAATTTTTTACATAGTTGTAGTTGATATCCAGTCATTTCTTGCGGGTTGTTGCTTCCTTGAACCCTGCTCGCTTCACGTATATCTTCCCTAAATATCACCCGGCATTCTTCAACTGATTTAGAACGGAATGTTCACTCTGCCTTTTCACATAGTTTTTGGTCGAAGAGCTTTCTAATCCCAGGTATTTGCAAATTGTTGATATTTTACTTCCTAAGTATATTTTCAGGTTGATTAGGAATTTTATTCAATTTAATTGAATTTCCCCACAAGTTCCTTACTATAATCTTAATCTTGATCATTCTATGGTCAGATAGATTTATATACATCATGGCTATCACATCATTAAACCAGTCTCTGCAATTTTAGGACCATAGCGCTCATTCAACCACATCCAAGATTTTAATTAAAGACCTTACAAACGTGACAAAAACTCTTTTCAAATATATTTGTGCATATCATCCAGGCTGGAACATCATGGAGCCGTTTTATCACTCTGAAAATTAGTATTCAAATATGATAGGTATAAATTACCATTCTTAACTTTCATCGACTTCATAAAAACTTTTGATAACATCAATCATGAAGCTCTATGGAAAACACCACTGGAGGTCGGTATAAAAACAAACATAATGAATATTCTAAGAAACCATTATAATATCCTGTTTGCCTCAAGAGACAAATGAAGAATGGAAATAGAAACACTAAATTAATCCTATAAATCATCATATAAATATAAAAAAATTTAAAAAACAGGTTTTTGAAATTTGTAAGAAAAAATAATTTTACTTTAAATTTTAGATGCCAAAGTCGAATTCACTCGTGCCTTGATTTAAGCAATGTTATTTTAAAATATCATCTTCACAAAATGATATGAAATACCAAGGCTTTCTGTTCGACTTCCCATTCACTATAATTGATAAAATATTACGATATGGTCCCCTAAAATATTTTTTGAATTCTTGCATTGCATGTTATGTACCCTCTTATTCCTCAAGTATAAGATCACGCATTTTTTAACTCCTATAATCCTGTTTAGAAGCCAATTCTTGTGAAGAAGGATACGATGTATATTATACAAGGGGGGAAATCATTTAAATTATTATTTTTTTAAATGGAGATAGAGATATATAAAATAACTCTTTGAATTTTTGGAGAAGATTTGAATATGTATTAGACATAGTAGAGATCCCTTTAAATAATATTTTTAAAAATTGCCTCCATATTATTGGGGATAAAAAATTTGTTTTATAACACCAATTTGCTGAGAATATTTATCGAATATAAGGACCAAAAAGGTAATCACATGTACCTGGGAATCAATCACTCCGGCATCATGACGTTTCAGAACAACAACAAAGTTCATCATTTCAAATGGTATGTCTATTTTATTACCTTTCCCCCTTTTGCAATTAAATGAAAGAATTTTAAGAGCGCTCTCTCTTTCTGATAAAATTATTTGATGAGAGAACTCGATGATGGTATTTGATAAGGGTACGAATGTTTTAGTTTTGATTTCATCAAGTTATTGGCAATGATTCCCTACGATAAAAAGAAAGTTTAAACACATTTTTTTTTATTGCCACAACTCACATTCTTTTTTGTATATTATAATGACTTGAATGTTGAATTGACTAATGCGGCGCTATCTTTAAAAAATATATTTAAATGAAATTATATCCCATTTAATCGTAATGTTGTTAAAAGGGCTCGATGTAGCGGATTTTAAATTAAGATTTTAGCGTCCAATCCTTTCTGCCAAATATGAGTAAATTTTGCTGGCTTGCGTCATATTTTTTGGCCAAAATCTTGGTTTAGTCCATTTTTTAAATAGAGCCGTTTAAACAATACTAATCGACTCAAAAGGCTGGCTTATGTAGATATATCAATTTAATATTCATTCTTCGACAGGTAAAAAAAATTTAAAATGTTTCATTTGATTTCCCCTCCCTCATTTAAAGGAACGAAATCCGTAAAATAGAATTTGACGGTAAGATGTTGGTGATTCATTTGCTTATAGACGAAGTAAATAGAAATATATTGTATTTTTATCGATCAAATAATACTTTTTTGATGCGTTTACCAGATCGAAAATAGCTTTTAACCTTAAATTATAATATTTTTTCTCTCCAACTGATTATTACTTTCTTCAAACTTTGTGCTGAGAAAATAGTTCAGTATATCTTTCAAACCACATCATAAATTATGAATATTTTTAAATTACGTTATTTTAAAATTTTATTTAAGACAGGAGGCATTTATATTATTTATTTTTTCTTATAACTTCTTTTGATATTTCAAATATTTTCTAACCCATTTATCCTCAATGACTAGTAAAAAAATAATGTTTATTTCTTTTATATAATAGAAGAAACACGTTGTAGGTTTCAAATGCCCGACTCAATCATCTTGCAAGCACATATGGAAATGCGCCATTGAACATCGAGATTTTTTTCAGTAATTTTATTTTTTAAAATAGAAAATTATGCCGGGCCATACAGCTTGTATAAAAATATTTTTTGGGCCAGGCCGGTTAAAATAATTAGATCAAGCATAAATCTTATTTTTTCTGCGGGCAGATTCAAATCGGCCCACACCAACCTCTTACATCCATAGTCTACAGAAGTTAGAGCTATCTTATTTAAAATAGCAACATTAGTGATGTAAAACAGCTCGATTTAAGACGATTTTTAAAAATGACTAACTCAATATTTTAGCCAGAAACATATTGCCTAAGACTTGAGATTTCGCTAATAGGATATTAAAGCCTTTGTGCCATCTGTGAGCAAAATCTTCAGGCGGGACATTTTTCTGAATATAATATTGAGAAATTGGCTAAAATCGAATTGTTTAACAACAAGTATTGTTTTTTAAACTTGGTTTCAACAAAATTATTTTTTTTCTTTTCAATTCTATGTAAAATGTTAAATTTATAACATTTTTTTTACTGAGTGGTCACTTTATACCATCATATTTGTTTTAATTTTTACGAAAGACTTAAAAGTTCTCGGGATATCAAACCTCACCATTCTGGCGGCAGCTTATTTGCCAGGGGATCTAAATACCGTTACAGGTTTTTTTCTGCTAACTAAAAAATTACGAAATAAAAATAACCGCTGGTTTTTCCCTAAATTTTTTAAAATTTATTTACATTTAATTTTAACCTTTAAATTATTGATTTTAATATATTCATCAAAAAAATATCACAGCGGAAGGGTCGAAAGAGAAATTCTGAACGATACAAGCATTTTGACTCCAGGGAAAGCGAGCCATCACGTCATGAGGTAATTAACATTGATAAATTTTTTGATATAGTAAACGTGTGCAATAATTGGCGCGACGATAATTATGAAAATGATCTTTCTTCCTGAATCAATCACGTGACTTCCCCTATAAAATGACCGTTAATCAATTCTGCTCATTAAATCATCATTTTACGAGAATTTTTTATAAGCGTATATTTATCTTGTCCAGAAAAATATTACGCAAGCCTGAAGATTTTTCGCATAGGTGGCACAAAGGTTTAGACATCTATTAACAAAATCTCGAGGCGTAGGTAATATTTTTTCTGGCTAAAATATTGAGTTAGACAATTTTAATATACGGCTCAAATCGAGCTGATTAACAATAAACTACTTACCAAACATTTTATTTTTTTTAAAAATATAACCTACACTATCCTCTTCTTAAGAAAATCCTCTCTCAGAGATTTTCCTCGTAAAAAAGGCGGCACTTATTTTTCGGATAAAGCCAAACCGGTAACCTACCATTCACCTAAAAGTTTGAAATATTTATAAATGATTTATTTCAAAAAGTTTATATATGTATAAAAATTACGAGAATTCAACGTAAGTTTTTTTTAACGCCTTAGAATTGTATCTAATAAATTATGATATTAATCCATTTGAAATTAGTTAGGAATCATTTAAAGTTTTTTTTACAGCTCAAATTTTGAAAATGTGAATGTAAATTAGTGACTCGAAAGTAGGATTCAAAAACGAATACGAATCTAACAATGAATTATTCGTATTTGATTATTTTGTACCATTCGAATAATTAACTATTCGATTCTTACGTGTAAAAATTCTCTTATATATATATATCGCCCCCCGAGAATAAGTTTATTCTATCTTCATTTTTGTCAAAAATGATTATTTTTTTTGATAGATCGATTATTCAAGAATATATTAATCTATATTTACATAAAAAAATCTTAGACTTTTAACTTATAAAATTAATTATAGCCCGTATTAGATCCATTTACAAAAAATAATCTATCCAGCATATGATCTTTTAAAATGTTTTCAAGTTTTGCATAAATGGAATTAAGAGTTATCTTAACTGATTGTATGGTTTTATATAAAGTATTACTGACAAAAAAAACAAAAAATTAAAAGAATATTTTTTATCATTATTTTAGAAAAATAATATTACATTAATTTTTATCCAGAATAATATTCCTTAAAATAATAATAATAACATTTGGTATTTTATTCTATCACCAGTTTTCGAATAATTTAAAAAACGATTTTTTGCGAAATATATCATGGTATTTTATTAATTGATGAAGAACTATTAAATATACACATCCTTAAATTAAAAAAAAAATTATGAAAGCATTTATAATATTCAAAATACAGATAAGGAATTTTTAAATTGCTCTCCTGTAAAGTTGGAAGAAATGGAGATAGAATTATATAGTTCACAGGCGTCGATATATATCTATATTCCAAAATATATAAGAAACATTTTCTTTACCATTTATTTACTGGTTATTGCACAAAGATATCAACAAAACGTAATAATACACAAACTGATAAATAATACAATAAAAACGATAACTCCAAAATATAATTCAAAAGATGATGATTTTTTTCCTTTTTGTCTCCCTTTTATACCTATCATTTTTTGTATATAAAAAATATTTATTAATAGTATAAACACAAATTCAGAAAAAGCAAAATATTAATAAACATATAATGATTCCTCAAAATCTATATAAATATGCGCTATGCTAAGAATATGATATACCACAAATAAATGTGAATAAGCAAAATCTACATAATATTAAGTTTTATCCACGATACGACTATATCAATACTTAATAGTTATTATTCTTACTCGTTTGGTATTATTACGAATAGTAAATTATACAATTCGTTCATAAAAATCGAATAGAAATGATTCATAATTCTATCCTTATTCTTTTTTGAACAGGCATTCAGAAACAATCTTTATAATTTTATCCATACTGGAACAGGATCGTTATATCAAAGTTGTAAAAGGGATCATCCGAGCTGTTGTATATTACTTGAACCGGGTTCTGTTTCGTCGATTATTATTTTATATTGATTTTAATATTAGCCATTGCTGAAGTTAAATTCAATTAGCTTTCACGATGATTATTTTTTCAATTTAAAAAAAGATACATATTACAATTTTTAAACCAAAATATTAATTTTTTTTAGTTCAGCATTCTAATAACATCACCCATAATGTCAGTAAAGTATCTAGGAATAGTTTGATCAACAACTCCCCTAAAGATCCTAATGATTCTAGTTTAATGGATAAAGGTAGTTCCACCAATTGGATGCCTACATCTCGAACTCCCCCTGGAGGTAAAATATTAATTAACCTTAGATAATAAGAGTGTAATTTTTATCTAATAATGATCAAAATCGTGCACTGTCATCTTCAATCTGGAAGCTAATAAATAATAATACACATATTTGTTAATTAAAAATAAAAAATTTGTTTGTGTAATTAATTTTTCCAACATTTGCGAAACAACTACATAGATACTTAATTAGACCGTGAAATTTTTTTATTCTTAAATTATTTCTAAAGTAAGTCCGAAATTCATTTTTTTATGAAAATTTTATCTTTCTTAATTCTAATTTTTCGTTATAAATTTTAATTTAAAAAATATTTCCTTTTAGTTATTCAACCCCCTCTTGGAGAAGATAGTAATAATATACATTTTACCGTTGCGGATGGCTTAACTGCCACGCCACCTCGCCCCTCAGCCGCTCCTACTAATTACTCTCCCCAAAAATTACCTGCTTATTCCCCTTCTCAGTCATCTCAACGAGAAGTTTTAAACGCAACAAGAATAAGATACAGCGGCACAAACGGTAAACTAACCTCCCCGCCCAGACCCCCTCCCCCAATTACAACATTCCCCAGTTCTCACGACACTTCTCTAGATTCAAACAAAAACATATCCTTCGAATCGAATGACGGGGTCGACGATTCCTCCTCTTTTTACGATAAAAACCCTGTCTTCCGATCCTATCTACTTACATCTTCACCTTTGAGCGGTAAAAGTCCAGCCAATAAATTCCGCGATTCTCCAATGCCAAACGATTATGGCTCTGAGCCAAAGTATCACGAGAAATTAGTCAACCTGCACCCTTCTTCCTTGGTAGAAGATAGCGTAGGTGGTGACTTTTACAAGACCGTTTTGTCGAATAGAAGCGGAATCGGTGGTAGTGGGGACGATACTAAGGATACTTTTGCCAACGACAGAAGAGAAAACGGTAATTTTATTTTCTGAAATATATTATTATGGTTTTTAAATTGCTGAAATTTGAACCGTGATTTATTTTTGCAACTCAAAAAAAGTGAATTCCATACCAATCAACAAAAAATCGATTTTCCACCTTACCCTCTCAGACTTTTTTTAAAATTTGTATATTGGTAGTATATACTATTACTAAATGAAAAAAAATGAAATTTTACTTTCTTACACCACTTACTCGTTAAGATATGGGCGTTTAAATAACGGAAAAATGGTACATTTCTTGACAAAATGCACTTCATTAATTTTTATATATCACAAGAATAAATTAAGTTAATGTAATATATCATTAACATGACATATAAATAAATGTGATAAACACCTAATAAATACCCAAAACCGGAAATGGCCATAAAAAATAGACTAAGCTGAATGTGGGTCTAGGAGTTTTGATCCTTTATATGGCTAAAATTGATCAAAATTTAACATAAATATCATCATATTTAAATTGGATAGGTTATAAATTTTGTTTAAAAATTATGTCCAAATGAAAGACCCTTTATTTTTTTAAAAAAATTATTTGAGAGGTGGGGGAGGGATGACTATGTAGTTTATTTAACACTAGTTAAATTTTCTCTTGAAATTACTTTTTAAAATAATTACAAATCTGTTATTTTAGCATAAATCAAAAATAAAAGAGCGACTATTTATTATTTGACGCGAAATCAATTGATTATATAACATTTCTTGAAACGCTGACAAAACCTGTCAACTAATTTGTAGATTATTTAATTAAAAAATAGAATAATTTCTTTCCTCATTCTTATAACTTAACAACAATCCAATTTATATGTTGGCGAATTCTTAGTTATTACTGACCAGTCAGAAAATTATGCATTTGTAGTGCAGGACCATGCACAAGGATTTCATTGGACCAATAATCAGGTCACTCTTAACTTTTTATGATTTCTTAATTAAACAATTTTGTTGTTATTTCAGATTGTTTAAAGCACAACGCATGTGCATTTTATTTATTTCAAATAAAATTGATCTTATTCTTTAAAGAAAGAGCAGAGTACCCATCGATTAAATTTAAATATGATGATATTTATGTTATATTTTGATCAATTTGAGCTATATAAAGGGTCATACACCTAGATCAACGTTTAACGCAGTCTAGGATTTTGTGCAAATATAAAATAGTCATGTATACCTAAAAAAAATACCTTTTTTCTATAGCCATTTTCGGTTTTGGATATTAATCGGGTTTTTATCACATTTATTTATGTCAAATTAAAGATCCATTATTAAGCTATAATTATATTTAAATTATTGCTCTATCTTAATTTATTCCTGAGATATTGGAAAATGAATGAAGTGCATTTTGTCAAAAATATACCATTTTTCCGCTATTACGCCCATATTTTACCGAATAAGTGGTGTAAGAAAGTAAAATTTCATTACCAATATACAAATTTAAAAAAATTCTGAGGGGATCGGGTTGAAATCTTGGTTAATTTGATATGGAATATAATATTTTTTTTAATGGATAATAAGCTTGTCGATTTTTACAAAAATATTTTTTTGATCATTATGGTTTTTTAATATCTTACAAATATAATTAGGGTATCCAGAAAGACCGTTAACTACACCGCCGAAAAATACGTTTGGTGCAATCGGAGTAGAGAAATTAAATGACCAAATTTACGTTGAAGATAAAGAGTATTCCCTTCTCACAAAACAACACGAGTGCAATGGTGACGCTCTCCTGACTAGGGCTAATATGGAAATACACAAACTTCAAAGCGAAAAAATTAATCATTTATCAGGGCCCGACTCTAAGCTCAACCTCACCAATCGGAGCATTGCTCAATCGCCTTCTCCAGGGTTAGTTAATCGATCCAAGTTTTTCTCTTCGAAATCGGCGAACGGCGGTATTAACATCTTTTTCGACAAATTGTTTTTGCGGAATCGGTTCTCCGGCAAAAAGGTTAGAAACGTGTCTTTCGAAGAATCCAACGATAGTAAGAACCTCCATGGTAAAAAAAGTAGCCGCCCTAACAAAGTGTCCAAACCTGCCCCATTCTCTAATGACCCGGGCACCTTTTCTAAACTGGTTCTAGTGATTTTACTTCTGGCCCTATTATTCCTCGCTTTCGTGTTACTCATGGAAAGTAGCAACCCAAATGCACTTTACTTGTACAAAAAATATCCTCAATTGAGGCGATTTAAACACGAAAATTATGGCACTCTTAAACGACATTTTTTGAAAACTTGGCAATCGATTTGTGATTTAAGACGATGAGAAAATATTTTTCGATTTTTTTTACCACAAAATTAGAAATAATTTTTTTTAATGAAATTTAGCATTTTATATATTAACAATTTGAAATGTTTGTTAGTTATTTGGAAGAAAAAATGGGTTCGTATATCTTTAGTTCAAAATTGAATTGTTAAAGAGGTTTTTTTCGAATATTTTTTTGTTTTTAATCTTTAATTTGTATTTGGCTTTCGTTTATGAGGTCTGGTCCTAGTTCCCTTCTTCAACGCTGTGTTTAAAATACTTGCAATGCAACAAATAAAGCATTTTAAACACAGCGCCAAAGAAGAGGATCAGGCTTGGATAGGGAATTTGTATGAAATATTTCAAAAAATTCCTTATAAAATCCGGTGATATCAATAATGTATTTATCATATTTTAAACTGATACATTGATTGTATTTTGTTATTAGATGTAAATGTTTTCCATTTAAAATATAATGATTTAAGTATTATATAGTATAGCCTCCATTCCTACCTATTTGAAGCATAGACTTAAATATATTTTATAGAAGGTATTATGTCGAACATCTTTATGTATTTAAAGAGGAATATAATTATTTTACACATTCTTTTTATCTATTATATTGAAATCGCTTTTATATTTTTTTTAAAACCCGTTTTTTTGATCGCCCTATAAATTCTTTTGAATAAAATTTATTGTGGTATTAAAAAAAATTTGAAAACTTCAGCCACATTTTATTAAATAAATTTTTTTTAATGTAAATATCTTTTTTATGTTATATTTCACCTAAAATTTTGGTCTACCGTTAATTAATTCAAGAAAAATATTATATAAATTAATACATTGTATCAGACATTAGGGGAAATTGTTATGCTGAAAGGGAATTGAACCAAATTTTTGGATTATTTGACCAGGCAAAAACTTTATCTGAGACAATAACTAGATGCTAATTATGAATCGTTATATATTTGATAAGTTTTTTTGTATAATAAAAAGATTTTCCCTTATATTTATTTTTATTGATTTTTATATAGTTTCAATATGCAAATAAAAATAGAGGGATAATGCAGCTTATTTTTCTTCGTAATTTTATTAAAATAAGTCTGCTTAGAATATTTAGAAGAATAATTACGCTAAAGTTAACATACCTAAATCCAAATGTTTTAATAAAATAACGTCAAATAGGGGGATTGGAAGGAGGAAATGAATCTCGATTTAATTAAATCCAATCTTTAATATATATAACCATATGGGAGGAGATTATAAAATGATGGAACACGTTATTTGAGCTCCGAAGATTAGATTATTCTAGACTTAAATTTAACTGCGATTTTGATATTAATTTAAACTAGTGATATAACAAAATTTACATTAATAGGCTTTAATAGTAGTTTCATTATAAAAATCGTAACTTAATAAAATAAAAAATTATCAAATCAAATTTTATTAAAAATCTATCAAGATTAATGAAGTAAACCCTCTTGAGTTAAATATAAAATCATAATTTTCGATAAAGGCCACAAAGAGCTTCTTCAAAGGGCTCAACGGATAACGTCAGTGAATTCGGGCTTTACAAGTATAGGCTAAAATGACATAGTTACATTGACAACTTATTGAAAATTAAGATTGTTATATTGATTTTGAGATATTCTGTTTTTTATTGGGGTAAACTATACAAAATAAAGGGGGCTATTTATATTTTAAAAATCAATTAAGTTATTTAATCATAGTAAGTAGCCGGAGTGGGATAAAATGAGAAATCACCCCCCCCCCCCCATCAAATGTTGGCTACGCCTATGATTTTATTATAAGAAAGGTAGGTTATAAAATAACGCATCACTCACTGAGTCCATTTTCTGATGTCGTAATTTTAAGATTGGTTTTTATTTTCCTTTGTGTAAAAAAAAATTTTCTCATTTCATATGCATATTAACTTTGCGCATGGAGGGGGTGAAAGCAGCTGTAGGACAAGAGGCTCATATCCATATTTTTTATTTACTACATTATTTATGCCTTTGAATTGAATGTTCCATTTAATTTGTTAGTCTTTTCTACCGTATTATATATTATTTTAATTGTATATTTTTTTTAAATATCATTTTAACATATAGTTTCGCTTAGAGGTCGGCACTAGGATTCAACCACAAACTCTCGCCCGCCTATTGGTTTAAAATTTTTTTTAACCCGCCTGCTATGATTTTTAAATTTTCCACCCGCCCATTCATCTAAACAATTTGTTTAACCCACTCGCAATTTTTTTAAAATTATTTGACTGTTGGGTTGGCTCTTTATTGCTTTATTTTAATTTAAACCTATAAAATATTATGTAATAATATGATTTTTAAATATATGCACCTTCTGTTCATTTCATCCGAAAAATAAGCTGCCCAATGCTATTAAAAATAACTAACTACTTTTTAAAATCTTAGCCCCAACCCTCCACATTTGCCCAAAGTATGGGCAATTTGCTTGTCTCTGGATGTTATGATTATTAATTTTACCTTCATTATTCTCATTAAATATTTACCGTTATTATATTACTAAAAAACAAATACAGAAAGTAGATTTTTCTATTTAAAATCCTTGAGTTATCACATAAATGATTATTTTACAAATATGAGTAATTCAAAATTTAAATGGTATTAGGTATGTATATTCACAACCAAATTGTATATCAAAAATTATATCAATAATACAATGGCAGTTAAAATTTTATCTTGCTTGCCTTTTTTGTTTGTTGAAGGCCAAAGGATAATATAATAGCATATTTTCGCAATCCACAGAAGTACCAATCTTATTTTCTATGGTAAGATATATGGCAAAAAGTTAATTCTGAGCCATGTAAGATTTTAGGTTGATCTTAATTAATTTAAGTTTTAAAAGATATGTTCACCCGAAACCATGGTAATCAGATTTGTTTGAAAATTTTTAAAAATAATAGAAATATAAGGCAACGCTTCTTCTAGATTCTTACTATTAATAAGGCTAAAATTTGTTTAGGAAGTGTTTATGGGTGGAATGCATATTAATTAAGGTTTTTAGTTCGATCATTTCATTAGTCACTTTCCGGTTAATCTTGTATAAGCAAAATGCTTAATTTAATGCAATGTTCGTAAATAGGCTACGCAAATTTAAGTTTTGAAAGGTTACGCTCACCCAAGGCCATGATAATCAGAATTTTAATTTTAAAACAATAAAAATATTAGGAAACGTTCCTGCTAGCCAGTGTCTACAAGAGCGAGGGGGGGGGGGGTAGGAAAGGTTCTCTATTAAATTTATGATGAAATAGGACAATGCTGTAAAAAAATACTTTTATTATAGACCTAACGATACAATGATATGCTGATCATCGACCAAATCTATATATTGCAAACAATCATAGACATTATTTTCCAACTGCTATGCTTTTAAATGTAATATAAAAGTGTTAGACATTCTCAGCAAACTCATATTCATGCCAAACACCACTATGCTATAATAATGCTTTCATTTAAATGAGGGAGTTTTTAATTGTCATGATCTAAAAATAGCTCTTTTATATTCACAATATTTTGATAGTTGGTAGTAGAGCTATTCTTTTTAATTTATGAAAGAAGTATCATTATATAATAAAAAAGATATAATTAATAATTTGAAAACATCGCCACCGAAGGTAAATTTTTTTAGAGGGGTAAGGCATAGGTTTTTGAAGGGGGGGGGGGTTGCATCCAGTGAAAATCATGTCATTTAGACACTTGCCGCTACCTTATTACTATAAAGTTATAATTTGTTTATGAGTGGAAAACATATTAATTAAGGTTTATATTTCGATCAATAGATCTAGTTCATTGATGTCACTTTCCAGCGAATCAGGCAAAATGCTTAATAATGCAATATTCGTAAATCAGCTTCAGATATATTTAAAAATGAAGATAATATATAGAAGAGGAAGAAAAAATGGTCCTTAAATATTTCAACTTTTGAAAGCTTTAGCTCGATCGAGTAATACATTGAAAAAAAATCAATACTAATTAGGCTTATCCTGAACTTTGTAGGAAAATTTCCTTCAAGTTTTCCTCTGTCGAATTGACGTTATTACTGATAAGCATTTTTCTCCCAAAATCATATTTCTCATCAGTAAGCTCATTTGCTATGATTAAAATAAAATTTATACCTTCTGCCAGACTTCCGTTTAGTTTAAGTTGTCATCGAGAACACTTAAGAATTATAATATAATGTAGAATAGAACAGAAATAGTTTAGAAATTAAAAACCGGATATTTTTCAAATATATTTTTTAAGAAGTTCATTCTTTTTTGTATAGAAAACCAGCCCCATGCTATGCTATTAAAATTTGTGGATTTTACAAAAATTAACGAATTTTTTTTACATTATAATATTAATTACTAATTAAGATAAGTATAATATTATATTGTGAAGGGTAAGGAAAAAAGTTATTTGAAAAAAAAAATATTCGAAAATAATTTTTTAGATTTGAAAGCCTCTAAAATTTCTAAATATTAGGCGGGCTCAGGTCCCCAAGTAGAGTCTGTTGCTTATTAAGGGTTTCGAGATTTAACTAGACTACTATAAGTTCACGCAAAATTTATAAACACTTTTTGAAGTAAATTAATATTTTCGATCTATTTTGTAAAAATAAAATTAATATAATTTAAAGTGTAACTAAACCTTATAAAGGCTAACATTTCGTTATTTATTTGTTGATCCTAAATTAAATATAACCAATCGTGTCTAAAATTAAAAAAATAAATAAATATTCATTTTGTGTGTATAAAAAAACAATTATTATAAAAATATAAATGACCTAATTTACTCTTTGTTAACAATAAAATAATTTATAATAATTACTTTTGTATTAAATGCGAATGAATTATGTTGGTTAATAAATGTATTATAATATAATTATTATTAATATTGGGATGGGGAAATAATATATTGAGCATTTTTTTTCTGGAAAAAGGAAAGATTTAAATAAATTCGAATAATCTTTCCATTTTAAAACAGCTTTTATATAGGGAATATATAAATATTTGTGATGGAAATGGAAGGGAGGGGGGAGGTTGAATCTTTACTGTATTAAATCATATATATGAAGGGAAAAAATATTAAATAATAGGACGGAAAGTGTTCATTGAGTTTTGAGTGATAGATAGATAAGAGAATACCTATATTTTTTTAATTTTTTTGTATTATGTCAATGGTCGATTTTGATCTTATAAAACAAAAACTCAAAATTAGCGGTTTTACCATTAAAATAAAAATAGGGATTAAGATGGAGGTTTTCATTATAAAAAATCTTACTTAATTTATTTTTATATCGAATTTTAACAATAAAAATATATCCTAAAAAGACAAAATGATTTTCGCCTAAATGCATGAATTAATACAATCTTTTTTTATTGTCATTGTCTTATAATATATTGCCAAAAAAACATTTTGGTTGATCGACTACCATGATGGATAATCTGCGATTTCAAGAAAGTTATCAAAAAATTAACAGTTATTTTCGCAAATTAACAATTATTTTCGCAGTTAAATATAAAATCATAATTTTGGATAAGTACGTAAAGAGCTTCTTCAAAGGGTTTTGCGGATAGCGCCATTGATTCATAATCAGTGAATTCGGGTCTTATAAGTGTGGGCCAAAAGCAAATAGCTAAATTTCGGCAACTCATGCAATTAAGATCACTAAATTGAGATATTCTGTTATTTTTATTTTTTTTAATCGTAAATTATATGAATTTTGAATCAAAATGCTAACAGCCGCAAAACTTTATATACGAGAACCAAGTTATAATTGTAATTTAGATAGCTATTTAATCATATAAGATAGATTATTTTTTATAAAACGTTTTTCAGACTAAAAAAATAGGTAAAGGCTAAGGCCTGGGTGCAATCAAGGGTTAGAAAAAATATATGTATAATCGTAGAGTATATGGAAATCTTTTAAATTTTAATCATTTATAGCACGTGAGATACTCCACAGCATAAGTTACTAGTGATGGATTTAGGCCTTACAAACAAATCCTCGAAAAACAAGCTAAGACAGAAACCACGCATAAAATGGGGGAAAATAAAATCAATTGTCAGATGCCTTCACAATAAATGTGAACATTGAAAGAATTGACTCTACGCCGACTAGTGAAAAAATGTGGACTGTCTCATCAAGATTAGTGGATGCTGCTAAACTTACCTTCGGTCTGATAAAAGAAAGAAACAAATCAAACAAAGAAAAATAGTGGTGGAATGAGGATGTACAGGCTGCCATGGAGGACAAGAAAACACTACAAAACATTGTATTATATATCCAAAACATAGAAGACAAACAAAAATACAAAAAGTCTAAGAAAATGGCTACAAAGGTGATAGCTAGGGCCAAATCACTGGAATATGACGACATCTACGAATAACTTCACATAAAAGAGGGGGTAAGATAAAATCTATAGATTAGTTAAACAACGTGAGAAAAATGCAAGGGCCATAAATAGAGCTCCAAATGTAATCAAAAATAAAGATAGAAAATTGATAATAAAGGGAAAAGAGATAATTAATAGATGGAAATATATTTTCAAGAGCTTCTCATCTTGAATCCCCATATTCATATACTATATCTTGATGAACATGCACCATGTCAAAACCTCATTCAACCAATAAAAAGGTACTAAATAATAAGTGGCCTTAAGCGGCCCTGACGATCTTCCAATAGAAAACTATAAAGCACTTGGAGATGAAGAAATAATCTCCTCATAATAATACTGAGAAATGAAAAGATTCCTCAAAAATGGAGATAGAGCTATTTAGTTCCCAACTTCAAAATTAAGTGTTGAAACACCCGTATTGAGCCAAAAAGAACCTGGCACCCAATTCGTTAAATGTACCGTGAAGCTGGTATTACGCAAACTTCAGTGCATAGTAGTCGCAAAGAGCTCAGCTGTACAAATAATATTTCCCGTCTTCTATGTACCAAACAACTTCTAAGTAAATACACTCAGAAGTTAATTCATGGATAAAAAGCTGTTAACAGTAACTTCACCTGTAAACCTGAGGATCTACGTTGCATTTTCAATGAGAAAAAACAATTTGCGGCTAATCCACTCTTTGTAATCGTTCAAACTTATCTAAATCCGTCATGGTTACAGTTATCTAATCAAGTCTTGGCTGCACAGAGCTCATCATATAAATTATGTAGAAATTTCAACTCTAAAATACTTTAGGCTACTCCTAAGTAATAGAGGTCAAAATTAATGGTGCATGCTAGTGACGTTTTACTAGGTGAGCACTTATTGCCTGCAACTTAAGAACTAAGGGCAGTGAAATATTTTATATTTCAGCAGGACCGTTCTCCTCTCTAGTACGATCTACTTTGAAAAGAAAATCCAGATTTTATTTCACCCATTTTTTGCCCCCCCCCCCCCCAATAGTTCTGATCTCAATCCGGTCGACTACAAGATATGGAGCGTCCTTCAGGAACGTGTTTATCAAACCCGCATTCGCAACGTTGACCATCTCAAACAGCGATTTGTGGAGAAATGAAATCGTTTTGATCAAGTGATTGTGCAATCAATAAAGAGATCGCCTTAGAGTATATATTCGAGCTAATGGTGGACATTTTGAATATCAGCTTTGATGTACAACATTTGACTCAAATTTGCTGATGTCTTCATGCTTTTGTCAAATTGTAGATTTTAATATTAAAAAAAGAACCTTTACATGTTGGAAAATTTGAATTATTGTTTGTCCAACTTTGAATGTGCATAACTTCACTGTTGATAGAATTAAATGAAATTTGCAAAAACATTGATAATTTATTGTTCTCTCAATCTATAAGATTTTATTGAATTATTTTTAGAATTGACAGATTTATTGCTAAAACAAAACGGGTATCAGTTCAATTGGAACACAGTTTAAATTAATTTTCAGGCGTATTAAATCAATTTTATAATATATATTAAGATTATATGATCAATTTATTAAAATAAAATTAAAAATTATATAACCAATCGATATTCTTACATGAATAAAATTTTAACGTAATATATATATATATAAATATTAATTTCCCCTTTAGCATTTATGTTGACATCTCAACACTTATACAGTTAGATATTGGGTTGGATTTATATTTTGTTTAATTTCATGAAAACTAAACAATTAGGAATATTAAATATCTTAAATATATAAATGTGGGACTATTTATTTATTAATATTGATAGAGTTTTTAATAAATTTTCCTAAATCTATATTAGTTTATTGGAAGCGTTGATGATTTTTTGGCTGAGCAGAATTGTTCCACTGAGATATCGTGTAATCATAAAATATAATTCAATAAATAATCATAAGTTATATTTTCAGCCATAATGTATAATGAAAACTTGTTGAGGTGTTTGATAAAATATTTGATGAGTGGTAGATTCATTTTTTCAACTTCTCCAGAATTTAAGATACGTTTCCAGGCGTTAATTTTATCGTTAGCATCATTCATATCTTAGAACAATCAAAATAGATTTTTATTACCAAATTTAAGATTATTTTTTAAAAATTATTTCCTTCTTTCCCTTCCCTTCCCTTTTCTTTAAAATTATATATTTATATATCTTTTATATAAATAATGTCATGTTTTAGATTAATTTTTATTTATTAAGAATAAATTAAGAGTTGCATTATTAAAAAGATTTATAAAAAAAGATAGCTTGGCCCTCAATAATTCTCTAAATATCCACATGCTTATATTTTCCATTAAAAATGACTATCTTTAAAATAATATATTATATAATACTATATTTTGAATCATAATTTTCTATTGATATCTTTCTTTTAAATTAAAAATATATTTTGATTATTTAATCTGAATGCGACTTTTCAATCTTTATTGACTATCATAAATAGAAATAGACCCTTTATTAAAAATCAAATAACTAAATAACTTCTGTCTCTTAAACACTTTTAACTCTCTAACATTATAAAGATCGATTATACTATAAATAACTTCCAACGTGAAAGATATCGGGCTCATAAAAATCAAATTTTTTTTGAATATCAAAAAAATTGATTATTGGTGCGTTCCTTAATGAAATCAAAGTTAAAAATAATGATATCAAAAATTATAAATATAAAACTTCCGATCTCGAGCATTTCATTGGTCAAACAAGCGGGTAGAAGCGGGTCGGAAAGTTCTGCTAGAAATGATTTCACGGCAGTGCCAACTGCGTTTACGGGCATATCCAGGTTAGATAATTGAAGATCTGAATCTTAAAACAAATAAGAAGAAAAATAAGAGTTTTGTTCTCCAACCCTGCACGAAACACATGATAATTAAAATTTAAATAAATTACCAACAATTTGATTATTTGTCAATAATTTAGTTTATTTTTCTCTTTTTAATTTTAATCGGACAAATTTGAGGGGGGGGGGCTCCTAGCGAAAATCATGTGAGCGTATTTTTCTCTTTCTTTTCTCTAGGGCCGAGTAGTAATTTAAACATTTCTCTCAACTTTATTTAAAAACAAATTATACAACTGATAGATTCGCGCAAGAATATATTCCAGATGTGATCAATTTGCGCGGTCAATCAAAATCCGATTTTTTAAGATTTTATTCGCCCAAAATTTTGAGTAAAAAATCTTTAAGGATCATAAAAATGTATAATGAATTAATTTAATACTGGGATTTTAACATGGGAAATTTTTTTATGCATAAAATTTACAATATATTTATCATCAAAATGGGTTTGGAAAATATTCTCGAAAATCAATCATCTAAGGTTCAAAACGAACGGACGATAAAGCTAAATAAGAAAATAAACTACCGATTATAATCTAAGGATTTACTTTGATTATGCTTTTTCAACAGTTGTTCGACTTGATTTTTACTCCCAGGGACCCGGTAAATGCCTTCACAATTGTAACCTTTTCCAATACATAATTGAGAAATAAGCAATATTTATTACAATTATACCATAATTTTAAAGGTCATAATAATTTTTTTTATTAGGCTTGGGTCCAAAATTTTAAAACTTTAGAAACTTTGATGAAAAAAAATAAGCTATTTTAAATAAAAAAACATATCCAAAACATAATTCTAGAAATTTCAAAAATTTAACATACGATTGATATAAAATGTTAATATTTATAAAAGTTTTAAAACTTTTTGAACTTTTTTAAAAAAAATTTTGGACAAAGCCTAAATAAATGTAATACAAAAATCAGCAAAAATAACGTTAAAAACTTTGATATATGTTTGGTTTTATAATCGATATTCAAAAAAACTATTTAACTTGGGTTGAATCATCATAAAATATTATATTCATCACAATATTATTTAAAAAATAATTTTTACAAATGTCGATTTTAAATTCTACCTTCTCGTTCTACGAAATCTAAACACTCTATGAGAAAATTAGGAATCAACGGAATGCGTAGGTCTTTTGATTTGCAGGAAGTGGTATCGTTATCACAAGCTTCTTGGCACTTTTTATGAGAAATGGCTTTGGAAATTTTGAAAGGTTGTTTGTTGTTGTTATGAAACTTGAATTTCGGGCGTTCCTAAGTGGGGTGGAGGGAGGGTAAAACAAATAATATAATATTTGTTGAAAAATATAAATTAAAAACGTTAAGTTTAGTAGGGAAAGGTATTCTAATATAGACATGTTAAACTTAAGCAAATAACATATATATTAAAAAAAAATTAGAAATAATAGCATATCATATCAATTTTAGTTTCGCCCCAAAATTGTTTCTATCCATGAAAATTTTTTTTTGCCTTTTAAATTAAATATAGATAATAGCTGAACAGTGACGAAGCGTCCACTCCACAGAAATAAGGGAAATATTTTAATGGTTCTAAAAAAAATTCTCAAATGAAATTAATATTATTAAATATACTATTTTTACAATGTAAATAGTGCGCCGGCAAAACGCAAACAATGCATTTCAAACAATATCGTGCAAATCGATCACAATTTATAAACATTAATAAAAACGCAAACGCTCAATTAGGTCATACTATATTTACAATGTTAAAAAAAAGTTTTTTTTTACTTATAAATTTTTTTTTAAAATAAGCATTAAAAATAATTACAAATTTATCAGCCCGCCCATTGTTTTAAAAAATATTTTTAAACCGCCCGGTGAACCAGCCCATTGTTTAAATTTTCAGCCTGCCCGAGGCTGATCTCTAGGTTGGCTGATGGGAAATCAATGGCATCCATAGTAGTAAACATTACGCTTCGGCGTAATCTTTGAATGGTTTAGGGAAAGGGGGGGGGTAGAGTTTTTCGACTCAATTTTGTTTCAATTTTCTTTAAGATATAATCGATGTTGTTAAATCATATTTTGTAATTGATAACTTTTGCTAATTTTTCTCCCTCCCAGATTATTTTTTAAGGGGTGGAGGGGAACTGTTTTTGGATCAAATATTGTTTTGCCATGGAAAAAGCGAAATCCACAAATTTTAATCAAAATGGATAATTCGATTTAACTATATGTCTATAACTTAATCGCTATGATAAATCTTAATTGTGAGATAAGAAAAAAATACAGTTTAGTAAGAGATGTCGAAAAATATTAACCGTCACAATGAATAAATTAAAAAGTAAACAAAAAATGGTTAAATCACCTGATTTTCAGGGGAAGGTATGTTAGTAGGCGAATTTTTCGACTTATTATTAAGCGTGGGCTTTGAGCGGTCCAACTTTTCTTCAAATCGATTGCAAAAATTTAATTTACCTAAAAAGATTTTTTTTTTAATTTATAAATAAATTTATCTGACTCTATTATCTAAAATTAGGCTAAGAAACTATAATTGGCGTCTTCTCACTTTTTTAAAAAAATGGCTAAATTTTATTAAATCTCTTCACAATTGGCCAAATTGTTAAAATAAGTTTCTTTCTACGATAGAAAATACTTTACTAAATTAACAAGTTTGGCATTTGCATATTCGACCTGGTTCTTTTTATATAATTTTACTCGGTCGAGACTCACGAAAACGCATGTTTTCCTTATGTTAACCAATACCGGCCCGAAGAAGCCTGGTCCAAAATTTAAAAAATTTTTTGTCATAACCCGAACTAAAATTGTTTTTTTAAATTAGGCTCACCTAAAACCAAAGTAAATTCCCACCCAGGGGGAGGTCGGGCTGAGTCTTGCAGATCACTGGCTGTCATAGTTTCAAAAATAATCCAGGCGTTGACACGGGATATAAACTCAACCCCTTGTCTTTAAAAGTAGATTACAATTTACGAATTGATCACATAGATTTAAGTAAATTATTTAAAAAACATTTTGAACAAAGAGAAAATATATCTTTACAAATAAATCCATTTAGAATATCCGAATTTAGCAAAAAAAAAATGAAAATGTTATTGTTCTGGTAATTATGATGTTATATTTGTATTTGCGTATTGTCTAACTTTTCTCAAGTATTTCGATTCTGGAGGCAAACAATTTATTCTCCAGAATGGAAGAAGCCATGTGAAGATCGTTGAATATCCTTTCGTTAGATTTCGGGAATTTCGGTTGGGATATGTTGATCAAGTCAGGCAGACAGGGAGAGCATACTACTATGTCTTCGGGGGTTAGGCGAGTTTGATTGTTATTATTGAAGGGTTTGCCTTTTCGCGTTAATATAAAGGATTTGGAAAATAAGGATTGTTTTTAATTATAGAAAATTAAACTTTTTTCCTTAAAAAAATATTATACTCTTCAATTATGTAAAATAGGATATTTTATTTTTCCTAACAATAAAAAGTAGTGTTGTTAAAAGGCTCGATTTGAGCTGATTTAAAAAAAATTAATATTTTATCTAGAAAAATAAAGCTCAGGTCTGAATATTTTGCTCATGGATGGCATAAAGGTTCGGAATATCTATTAAGGAGATCTCGAGACTTAAGGAAATATTTATCTGGCTAAATATTGAGTTAACCGTTTTTAGAAATCGCGTTTTTAGAAATCGGATCATAATGAGCCGTTTAACAACACTAATTGACTAGCTGCTTATCATATAGACATTTATAGAGTCATTATAAAAAAAAATTATCTATTCCAAATTTCTATGTAACCGAAATCCAGGTTAATTAGCATAAAAATATACCTATTTTTAAGGAGGTGGGTATGTTGGACTTGGCTTGCTTTTTTAATTTAAGTTCGGCTCTAGGTTTGTGGCTATTTTTTGGTAAATTGTTTTCCTTAGAAAATCCGACCTTTAAGACAAAATAAATAAAAGTTTAAGACTATACTCCTACCTCGTTGTTATATCTCAAAAAAAGATTATCAAAATTGTAATACGATATCATTTGAATATTATATATCGTATTTATAAGATATTATTTATAAAATATTATTTGAATATTATATGTTGTAATATTATATAAACTTAAAAGATCAAAAGAAAAATATAATTATATTATAGTTACAAAATTTTTATAAAATTAATATTAAAGATTACCATTAACCATATATATTTTTATCCTGTCTTCTGAATATGTCTGTATTTGAGAATTAAGAAATAAAAAAATGAAAACGAGAATACGGCCTAAACAATAGCTCAAAATTATTTAAAATGTAAAAAAAAGAAGATTAATATATAAACCCTTTTAGGGCTAACTCCGCCTTTTATAGTCGAACACGACATAAATTCGTTATCGTAACAAAAATCTTGATTCGGTAATAAAGCTGATTCATTATTTGAGTACGATGGTATAGAAGGTTGTGGGAACTCTGATCTGAGTGAATTTGGATGTTTAAAGGTCAAAATTAAATTGTTTTCGAAAGATTTGGCTTGCTGACTAACTCTGGAATCTTTTTTAACCTAAAATGTGGGAAAGTTATTTTGATATGAAATATGATTATTATCGGTTTCGTATGGGTTTTCTTTAAAAAAATTATGAATCGATTGTCTTTTATGAGATATAAATGATAATTACTCAAATTATGAGGTTAAATTAATTATAAAGTTACTTCAATCACTCTCTGTTCTTGTGTAGCGCTATTATTGGCGGAATTTTTGGGCAGTTCGCCACCAGGATAAATATTTTCGTGATTACGCTTCCCGTAAACATCGGCGCATTGGACCAAAGAGAGCTCTTTCATCCTTTCGGCGATCAAATTATTGGTTATTGCTGAGCCCGTTTTAGAATTAGCTTGTTCGCAAGTATGAAGGTCTGGAAATAAAATTTATCATTTAGGGCAATTATCCTCTTTAGTTTTTATATTTAATTTAAAATAAATCCTCTAACTCCTTCAGATAGTTTAAATGAAATGTAGCTCAAGGTTAGACCTGAACTAAGGCCCAGTAGTTGATCCCAAGGGAATCGCCTCCTCCCTCCACCCATCGAAATCATACTTAAAACTTAGACCATTTTAACCATTTTAATTTAAACAAGAAATTTTAATTATTATTAATGTTATCAATTATATTTTCCATTCTAGATATTATGTCTACTGACTGTAGAAACATTTCACTATAGCTAGACCTGTGCGTCGCGCCCTCAGCAACCGTTTTACCAGATAACTTTAATAAAATTGTATTTATACATGATAACTACAATGATTTATTTTCAGATATAAACTTACTCGGATCTTAATGGGAGCCTCCTTTTGCTCCCCCCTCCCCGCATATGCTGTTTTAATATAGTTTTTATATTTGTCTTGTTTTAAATTGTTTACATAATTTTGTTTTACATGTTATTTAATTGTTATATATATACTGCTATTTTCTAAAATTTAATAAATTAAATATCGTAAATATAAAAAAATGCTATTTATATTCGTGTAAAATGCATTTATATATCCATTATAGTATTCCCCTTTTATAAATAATGTACAATTTTTAAATTATTTATCTTTTGTTAAATATATTTTATAAACATTATAAATGTTTATGCAAATTTATATTCATATTTTGGTTATGTATTTACATTTTAATTTTTATGCTTAATTTTGTTGACAATAATGTACAAACAAATTTAGACTGTTTATCATGTATGTTGTATTATCGGTGCACCGGTGCGTCGTCGGTATAAATATGCAAACGCGCTGCTGCCGCCGAATAATATCGGCGCACATTTTAATTATAGATAATAATCTTTTACCTTTGAAATCGTGATATTTTTTGCTTATTTTAACGCGGTTCTTGACATGACTCGGCTTTATGCCAGACCATGAATCTTCTTGCGAATTTTGCTCGGGGTTTAAATTCCGGTAAAAATTTGTACCATTTTTCCGGTTTTTCACATTTTTATTATAGTGAGATTCGGCAGGATCTTTATCTAAATTATTTCTTTATTTAAAAAAAAAAAATATATTTAATTAGAAATACTAATTATATGATAAATGAATTAAATTCTAGCTAAATTAAGGAATAAAATAAATACATTTCTTTCCTTTCATTATAGTTCTTTCTAACCCGACTTCAATCATACAGAATTTAATCCAAAAATAACCCCTATTTGGTTAACATATTTGAGAAGAGAAATATATTTTGTTAAATTTAAAAAAAACATATTTATTAATTATATGTGTTTTAATGTATAGGGGTGGAATAGATCTCTTAGAATAATACAAAAGTGAAAATTAGACGCCAATTATAATGAAGTCATTTTTAATTAACAAAATATACTCCACCCTTCTACCAATTTTTTTTTAAAAAATGATAAAATTTATTTGTATTATAGCGCTAAAAGCAATAATGTCATTTATTGGCAAATAAAGAAATTTTTTTAATTTCCTTTTTAAAAAAAAAATTTTTTTACTCAAATTTATCGATTCCACAATGGTTTTGTAATACACATTTAAACCTTTTCACGCCGCAATCCTCATCTAGAAAAAGATCTTTATTGTTGCATTTTACGAGTGAAGAACCATTATTCTGGATAAACGCATCCTCCTTACTTCCGTGCTCAATTTTTAGACTAACTCTTTCGCACTTTTCCCTGTATATGCGTCGAAAAAAGGGTGACAAATCTAATTTTTCATTAAGGAAAATCAAATATTATTATTGCAAAAATGGAAAAATATAATTAGAATTTCAAAACTAATCTAATCATAATTTTTTTTTTTAAAAAAATAGCAAATTATATGCAATGTTTAGATTTTCAAAAATTTGCAAAATACAAATGTATTTCCCAGAGTTTGAAATTTTTGTTTAAAGAAGAGATTTTTTTGGATCGAATTTTACCAAAAAATGTTAAAATCATTATTAAAAAATCACTTTGTAGTCTCCATGCACCAAAAAAAAACTTTTAGAAAAAATAAATTTTTTTTAAAAAAAACAAAAATCTTGCACAAAAATATTTTGAAGGTTTTCTCAAACTCTGGTTTTTTTATATTTCTTTGTTTCTTCCTTCCTTCCTTCCTTCCTTCCTTTTCTATTATTAAAGCATATCATATTTACCCCTTTATTTACGATAATATTATGGAAAATTATTTTACAATAATATATTTATTTTTTTTCCACAAGTCAATAATTTCTTTATTTTAAATAAATATAACTAATATAATGAATTATAATTCCTTCAGTTTTTTAATCATTTTTTCGAATTTTGAAAAAGATTATTTCGAGATTCAGAAAAGAAAGAAAAAAAATTATTAAACCGATCGATATTTTCGACGAATCAGAAATAAAATCCCTCCCCTTGCCCAACGTTATTTCATTGAATTCGCAATCGATTTGTATGGCTAAGGTTTTGCCATTTTCCAAGAAATTGGCAGTTTCCGTTGCCCTTGATTCATCGTTCATTTCAGAATGGTATTTATCATTGCTGGAAACCTCTTTCGATCCCTTTACCGCTAAAATAAGGGTAGGAAGGGTGGAGGTATTTAAGAAAGAACGATTGAGGAACGAGCTGTATTAAATATTTAAGATAAATAAAGATATTGCACGATTTAAAAAATTTAAATTCAAAATAATATAGGACTACAAAAGATGAATTTGCGCTTCAGCGACATTCTTTTTTAAATTCTGTTTTATGTATACCCTATGCTATTTATTTTAAAGCAAAATATAAGGAGAAAAGTATGATTATAATTTTCGTATAATCAAACTTTTATTTAATGATAAATAATATATATTATTATATAATAATATATATATATGTTAGAGTCAAATGTGTTATTTTTTCAACTAAAAATCATTTTTACAACCATTTTTGTTTTAAATTTAAAAATCTGATTTCACTGGAAAAGTATTCGAGCTTGTGAGTAAAAGAAAATATTGCCGATAACTTTTGAGTCATTTATAAATTTATATAAAATATCTATGGAAAAACTAATATAAATCATATAAAGTTCAAAAGTTCCTAAAATCACAGAGTAGGTTTTTTTGAACATGTTGGAATACATTTCCATTAAAATTAGATTTTTATTTAAAAAACGCGCTCAAAAAATTAAATAATGGAGTCACTCAATTTTAAAATATTTGATGATAAATGATTCTTAAATTTCAAAATTTGACTTGACCAGATATGTATCCCAGCATGTGCAGAGTGTACCACAATCATAATTTCAGACTTTGCCGTGAAGATAGTGTTGTTAAACGGCTAACCCTTATATTTTAGCCAAAAAATATTACGCAAACCTGGAGTTTTTGCTAATAGATGACAGAAATGTTTGGATATCTCTGTTGAAAAAATCTCGAGGCTTGCGAAATATTTTTGGGTCAGTCGTTTTTTTAAAATCGAGCCGTTTAACAATAATACCGTGAACGTTTGAACTACTCTTAATTTTGCATCAATTTTTATCTAGATTTTTTTTTATATAAAAATTTTAAAAAGCCTTCTGCATATGTTGAAATTCATTTATGGTCAAATCAAAATTTTGCTTACCGACAGATACCAAATCCCAATGGATTCCATATCCCAATATGGCTTATAGATTCACAAATATGTATTTTTCATTTTAACCATCAATAAAAATGATGAAAATCTTTTATTCCAACTTGTATAATACAATATTTCCTTTGCAAATTTAATAGCTTATTCTATTACCGATTATTTTCAAAATAAAATGAGAAAATTTTTGAGGCCTTGTCTACTTCTTTAACGCAGCGTTTTAAAAGGCTTAAAATGTTAAAAGTTAAATTCCTACCTTTTATATTGAAGGAGCAAACGTAGCGTTAAAGAAGAGGACCAGGCCTAAAATAACATTAAGGAGGGAGAATGGGGTAATAATCCAGGAAGAGGGAGGAGATAAAAATAAAATATCAAACCTCATGACAGAAAAGGAAGCTTTACGCTTAACGTCATACACTAATACGTATCCGTCATATGCTATGCAGGGATCGCTGTTAAGTAGAATAATTATTTCAAATTTTTTTTTGTAAATAAAATCATTTTTCCTAATATTTAATTATTAACTATATTTCCGATTTTATATTGAATCAAACCATATAAATTGATAAAAACTAAACATTTCATTTAAAACTTTAGAAAAAAAAGCCCAGTACCTAATTATAAAAAAAAAGAAGTCAATATTTCATTTGGTGCACTAGGCGAAATATGAGGCATTATGATTTGATTATATGATCAGTGAGTCGTAAACATTTTTTTTAAATATTTGTTTACCTAATAATAAACCTTTTAAATCGTATATTTCATATTTGAGGGTTAAAAATTAAGAGAATATATTTTAAAAAAATCAGCATTGCTTCGATCACCCTGCGCTTTATTTCTAATCACAACTTCGAATAAAATAAAACATTAATAATATAAAATAGGTTGAAAATAATTTTCATTTTATTTTTTTTAAAAATTACATGAGTAAAATTTTTTAAAAAATAAGGGTTTTGGATAAATGTATAAATAAATAAAGAACTTGAACTGGGCCAAACAAAACCCTGCTTCAAAAATATAATTATAGATTTTTAAATTATTGAAAAAAGATAAAGGATAATAAATCCTTCTTCTCTTTATGTTTTAAAGACAATAATATGCAAATTCATGCATATTGTCTCTTTAAAAAATTCAAAAAAACGGCGGGAAATTTTTATTAAATTAACATTTATCATTTAAAATGAATTATTGCCTATAGTAACTAAGAAATATTTTTATTTTAGTTTTTAGTCGTTACTTATTAATTATAAATTAATGTTTAAATAGTCGTAATAATGATAAATTTTATAATATCCAATTTAATATTCATCCAATTACTTTTTACATAAAATATTACATATTTAATTGCTCTGAGGACTCTGATTATCAAGTATTAATATTATAATCTAATATAAAGCTCGCTAGGTGGCAGAATACAACGAAAATATTTGATTTGATATAAAATAGTTATTTTTAATAAACAAAAAATTTTGTCAAGCATTTAAAAAGTTTATATTTACAGCATCCTTTTTTAAAAAAATATTTTATATAAATTTTTACTAATTAACCATATTTTTAAAATTTTTATGTTTATTGTCATAATAAAGGCCAATCTTGAAGCAAATATGACTGACAGACTATACTTCATGTTTTTTTAAATTGATATAAAAGATTAATTATTTATTTTACTTGTGAACGTTGGAATGAATGTGCCAGGCCAGATGATAAGATTTTATATGTAAGGTTATCACAAAGATTTGCGAAATATTTCCCACATCGGTCTCTTCGAAATGAAGGAATGGAAAAGAAGAGTACACGTAGGAATCAGAGTTGGGAATCTAATATAGTTTAAATCACACATTCAAAAATTTATTTTAATCAAATAAGATCTAAACTGTATACAAAATGTCGTAGACCTCTTAAATATTTATGTCTCGATCGGGAATACATTTTTGAGTCTAACTCCCGATTAATCTAAAATTAAATTACAAGAATATCGCCTTATCTTATGAGAAGTTTCTTCGTAACGTAATCATAATTATTATTTTTATAATACAAAATAGAAAGAAAAAAGCATATACTTTTTCTTCTAGGTTCAAAGGTAGTTGCGAGCTGAAAAGGCTAGAATAATTGGACAATAGTTTGAATAGGAGGTATTGGATGTCGAAATTATCGCCGCATTGACAACACATCAATACGCTTTAATAAATTAGTATAAAATTAGAATCTTGTAAAATAAACCATAAGGTCGGTTTTTAAAGTTTAGGAAATTTAAGTCAACGTTGATGAAGGTGGTATAGAATGATGCGAAGAATGGGGTCCAGCCAGTAACGATGCTCATGATTAGAAAGCGAAAGGGGGAAGCTAAAGGGGCAACTAGGAACATGAATTTTAAAAAGTTGGAGAAAAAGGAGTATATTTGATATAATATTAGTCAAGTAAAATATCATTTGAGCAATTTAGTATCGTGAAATGATTGAGGTTGCATTGAACACTACTCTTATATAAATAGTAAAATATATTTCCATGAATTTTTAAATAGAGAGATGGCAGAGAATATCATGGGCGTCTTTTCACCATTTTTTTGGTGTCCAATTGAGTGATTTGATGAATAAAATTACCATTATCAAATTATCATATTTACTAAGAAGTCTGTTAACACCCGATGTAATATGCCCGAGTAAGTAAAACTATTCGCCCACCCACCAACCTATAAAAAATATATTTTTGAAACAAATTTTGTAATACCGAATAAAATAAATATGATTTTTTTTGTCATTTTAATAATTAACTTGATGTGACGCTGTTTCATATCTGTGTAGTGTTGAAAATTTAACTCCTGATACAGAGGTTGCACGTGAAGAATATTCTCATGTTCCTTTTCGGTATTTTTGTTATTCGTCTGATTGACAATATCGGATACAAGGCAGCGTTTCAAACGAGCGATAGATATTAAGTTTGTTATAATATTATTTATGTTAGATGACGCGTTTTGGCTATCAAGATCAAGCGGCGTGTACATGCATCTATAACTTAAAATCATATAATGAAATCGTTAATAAAATAATTGGGGTAGTATTTTTATATGAGAGAAGTTACAAAACCATTTAAAACTTATATAAGTATGTCGCAGTCAAAATAATGTTCAACTTGAATGGTACATCAAATTAACGTGTACTTTAAAGTGATGCTGAAGGATACTAAGGCCGTGTCCTGGTTCGCCCTATTATCAAACAGTAGTCTCTTTAACCATCTATAGCTTATCTCTTAAGTGAAGGAGGTTACATAGAATATATGTAGGTAACGTATCCTTTGTGACTCTTTCTAAACCAAAATATTTATTTAATGTACACGCCTAAAATAAACCAAAATTGGGTGTTATAATGCAAAATCTATCCCATAAGTTTCAAAAATAAGACAAACTTGAACACGGCATAAGAACTACTTAATATCTTTTCTTGATATTATGTATTATAAAGGTTGTGTTTGCCCGAAACGCCACTATACCAAGGATAGGTGGGTCAGACTTAATTAGAGAAGGTCAAAGATTTTATTTTCTCAGTTTGGACCGAACCATTAAGGTTAGGTTTTTAGAATCGGTTTTTGGTTAGGTTCCATCCGATAAAAAAATAAATATTTTTATTAGATATCATCTTTTTATAATTATCAAATTAAATATATTAAAAAAATGACTGAAGTAAAACGGCTACTATAACTATATGGTCAATATGAAAAGTGATCATATCTTTAGAGGTTTATAACTAATATAAGTCTCGCAAAAAGTTTATATTAAATGAATATACTTTGAGGCCAAATTAAGCAAGCATTCCTCGTCTAATAGGCCAACCGTTTCAAAATTTCTTTTATCCAAAATGGACACATTTTCGTATCCAGGATAGCGGGTATCGGAATTATCATTAAATTTGATATTCTTTTGGAATAAGTTGGAGTTAAAATGACACCAATTGAGCGCGACAATCATTAAGGGCATCACGAATTTTAAAAGAGCCTTGATTACTCTGGAACTCTCGTCGTGAATTTCGGGATTTTGTGTACCGCGAAAACAATTTTGGCCGGACATTTGTTTGATGCGGAAAGAGTTGTCAGGTCGATTAATTAACTTTTCGTCTCGGGCCATTGTGGTAAGGTCGCATAATGATATGCAGCCTAGCGAAAGGAGGGTGGTAATGTTTATGTTTGGGAGAAAAAAATATTTGGTTTTCGTATTAAAAAACTATATAAAAAGATTTCAAGGGGCCGGATCTTATGATAAATAAGTTGGAGTATGGATATAATAGCAAAATGTCTTTATAATCCTATTTTTATTATAATTAATCTGATTTAAATCGCATGGAACTAACACCAAATCTATGAAGCATCTCACAAAAATTTTAATAATAAAATAGTAATGCGAATAAAAAAATAGTAATGCGAATAAAAAAATAGTAATGCAAGTAAAAAAAATGCTTTTTTCTGAATTTTGAATAACCTACAACATGGTCAGAACTTAAAGCCATATCTTGAAACGATACAAAAAAAGATTTCATTGTTTCCATATAAGGAATTTCTTCTTTGTCATTTATAAAAAGGTATTGCAACGTTAAACTAATGTTTTGGTGGGCATCCATGGCGAACAAATCTTTGGGGCAAAGACTCTGATTTTTTTTTAAATGAATGAATTATGTAATATATTGTCATTTTGAAAAATAACGGATATATATAAATATTAAAAGAAAATTGTTAAATTTTAAGCTTCTAAGAGTCATAAAATCATATGTTTTTAATTCAAGTTCCGAACCAGAAGGGTGACCCTAAGAAATCAAAACCAGAATCCTACTCTTAAAAATTTATAGGAACCGAAATAATAATTAAAGAAAATAACCAATAAATGATATTTTAAGATTATTACAACGACAATTCAAAAAAATTTTTAAATATGATAAATAATGATTTTTTTTCATTTGCAATTTTCCTTTTTGATCGCATTTCCTATTTTGATTGACACCTTCCCTTTTTTGATCGGAACTTTTCATTTTTTGATTGACACTTTTTTGATCGAGACTTTTCCTTTTTTTGTATAGAAAACCCTGTATATTTTAACTCCAACCTTCGTCGAGATTGAGTGATGCTTATTATCCAATGATTCGCTGTAATATTGACTATATTGAAATAACAAACCTTTTTAGTGTTAAAGAAATTCCACTTTTAAATTGACTTGTATTATAATAAACTCAAAGAATAAATTATAACTTTTTTTGAACTTAAAAAAAAGCTTGAAAATATTCTGCAAAAAAAAAGTAATTAAAAAATGACATTTGACTTGAATTTAGTGTACATTATATTTTTTTAAAATTCATGTCACTTTGATGTGATCCCCCAAAATATGGACATACTCCTCGATGCCAATGATAAGGAGCGTCATACTTTTGACTTGTTTGAGTTGTGGGATAAGAGACTCACGGTTTGTCACAATGGTATTTGCTTTAACTAATTCACAGTGCCTAACAAACAAATAAAATTGTGTTAAGTTAATTTAATGACGAGTGGCATGGATGGGGACAGGGATTCAAACCATAACAAATATCAGTTCGGTTAAGGTTCCGGTTTAGATAAAAATAACAATTCATGCTCAGGTCAGGTGCAGGTAAAATAATATCGGTACGGTTTTAAAACCCGGTTCAGACCTTTTCGCATACAAGCGTATTCGAATTATGTTTAAAAAAGAATAATTTTTAAATTTTATCACTTAAACAAATAATATATAGTCGTGTAAAATTAAAATATTTTAGAGATTCTTTTCTGTCAGTTTAAAAATTTGGTGTTGAACTCTAGCTTAAAGATTTATAAAAATTTTGCGTAGAATTCTGGTTTAAAGTTTTATAAAAATTTCGGCCGTGTCTGGGTCTAAAAAAAAATTTGCAGGTTCTAACCTGGCTTATTAAAAATTTTGTAATAATAAATAAATATCATATGTTAGATAAAAAAATAGAACCTTATCAAATTTCCAAAAATGGAAGCATCTAAGACTCGATCGAAAGGGTAAGAATCTATGCAACGGTTTTCCTAATATATATATTTTTTGAAAGTTATGTATTTTAATTGAATAATAAATTTTATAGGAGATGGGGGATGGTATAATCTTAACATTTTATTCCAAAAATCCAAGGGTAATTTAATTTATTACCCCTATAAATATTGTGGTCAATCGTGTATAATATGGCCATGCTATGAGCATTGGATTGGGACCAATATTCACCGTTTTCTGAAAAATTGGATGGAGCCCATAAAAACCCTGATCTGATATATGATGGTATATATATATTATAACTATATAATATTTTTTATTTTATACAAAATTTACTAATAATTTATATTAACCAAAATCCAATTTATTTATAATGTGTTAAAAAAAAGGTAAGATTATTTAATAGAAAGAGTAGGTAATAAATGTGATATTAATCTTGTTTTGTTATATTATTTGCTTTGCAACATAAATTAAATAAAGGCTTATTTCTCATATTTTGAGACAAAGTGTAGCAATACCCGGATTTAGAATCGAACTCACTAAATACACTAACTGAATATTTTAGCAGCTTAGATTTAAAAATATTTAACGAGTCACATTCAGCCATAAACATTGCTCCATATTTTATATGAGATGATTCACATTTGAGAAAAATAATATTCAGTTTATCGTGATAAAGCATCAAATATCTCTTTGGATATGAGAAACAAAAAATTTTAATATCTTTGAATCCTGTAGAAATGTCCTAGACAAAACAAAATTTCCCTGGTAAAAATACCAAGGGACAAAAAGACACTGAAGAAAAATACCCCTTGGTATCTTTTTGTCCGGGATTTTGAGGAAACTTCTCTCCGAGATTCGTGTTTAGTATTTTGTCCATAGTTTACAGTTAGTTAATTTTTTGCATAGAAAATATTGATTTTTTTATGACATTGGTTCAAATAGATGATAAATAAAAAATAAATACCGATCTCTGTATGAATAATCAGAAAATATCGATTCAAATAGGTGGAAAATTTGTGAATCGGCACAGCCTAACTTGGGATAATTCAATGACATTAATACTGACCATGACTAGCGATTTATTCATTACTGTGCATTAAAAAGTGTACCTATATTGAAGTCAGTCATTGAAAGGCATTTAGACAAAATTGAAGGAAATGTCTTTCAATGGCGTCTACAGCTGACTTCAATGTACGCACCCTTTTAATAAATAAATCGTTAAAATAATATATGAAAGAATCAGTTACCTTTTAAAATGGAAGGAAACAGGAATATATTAAACAGGTATTTTAGCTTTAGATTAGACAATATATTATTTTTGAGAATTATTAATTAAAAAATAATAATTGCAAGAATTACTTATGAAAATAATTGCAAGAAAAAGATGCAATTATATAATTTCGAATTCTAGTTTAAGGTTTTTATATTTTATTGTATTTTATTATATCTTATATTATATTACATTTATAAACTAAATAACTAGGAATGAAATTTTCGGTGCCCTCCATCTTTTTTTATTTGAGTATCAAGGTTACTTGAGTTCGTTAAAGAACAGGTCGTAGACCAATGTACAAAATAATGAATTAAATTAATGGCCAGTCTGTGTTAGTGATTAATGATATTAGGATTATTGCATCTTAATACTTTATTGTTTGCGAAAAATATATTAACTTTTGAACATAGTCAAAATACTTTTTGACATAAGCCATATCATCACTATGATGGACATAGGAACCATAAAATCAAATGTTTTGCTGAAAAGTCGGGATAAGACGCTAGTCAAGCTTAGGGAAAAAATTCTTTAATGTGTGAAAGATTTTTTATTGCTCAAAATTTGATCAAAAAATTTGTGATTTAATTTCTTTTTGAGAAGATTCATTTATAATATTTTTTAATTGATTCTTAAAGGTTGTATCTAAAAAATCAAAAATCAAATTCACAAATTTTAAAACTTAAATGAAAATAAATAAACTATTTTAATATAAAAATAAAAACATGTCCAAAACATAATTCTAGAAAATTTTATAATTTCAACATACGATTATATTAAAATTTTAAAATTTGCGAAAGTTTTGAAACTTTTCGATTTTTTTAAAAATGGTTTTGGTTGGACAGAGCCTAATAAACTTGCGAAATTAGTAAATTAATGATTAAAATTAAAGCTTTAAAAAATATATTCGATAATTTTTAATAAAAAATATTTGATACTTTTTAATAAAAAAATTTCACGTTTCCTTGTTGACGTAATAAAATAAAAGAATTTTACTTGTTCATTAAATTGACAGAGAATACAAATTGCATGAAACAATGAATAGAAAAATAATTTTGCAATTTCAAATCCTACAATAAATGAAAGATCTGAGGTCTAATATTTTAATAATTGTGAAATATACTCTCATAAATTTTTATTTAATGTGATCGCAATGATGTGTACATACTATAAGATTGGCATAAACGTGTATATACACAGGCAGCGGTAACACCATTTTATGGTCAGTAAGATTAAATGACATTAATGCGCAATCATATAATGATCGATAAGAGTAAGACAATTAGTCGACGTGCAAACCATAAAATGGTGCTAACTGCTGACTCCTATGTATATACCCTGCCAATCTAGTAGTATATACATATCAGTGGGTGATCGTTTTCTAATTTGGATATCTTTAAAAAAATGAATGTGTATAAAAAATAAAACCTTGGAGCCTTTCAAGCTGTTTGTAGTTGTGTCCAAAGAATTGAAAGGACAATATTCCCTTACCGGATGTCTTAAAAAGGCCAAGAATTGTAAAATCAAGACTGTCCGTTCCTGTTCCACGCGATCTAAAATGCGATACCTTTACGTTAGCGTTTTTTTTAAATCAAAAAGAAAAAAATGAAAATATAACTTAACCCTTATTCAAACACTTGTCAGAAAAAAAAAGAAGCGGCATTAAAATTTTTAAAATATGGTTATAATTTAACCCGGTGAGACAATTATTCGGTTTCAATTTTTGATATAAAAGTTTGGTTAAGATTAAGATCATATTGGTTCGGCTAATTCCGTGATATATTATAGATGTACCAGATCTATGATAAGATACCGGATCTTCCCTTTTTGGCTTTGCTGTTTTTAAATTGCAGGTTCTTAACCGATTTCTTTAACTGTTCCTAACCGATTTCTTCAAATGCCAGTTCTTAACCGATTTTTTTAAATGCCAGTTCTTAACCAGTATTAAAAAAAATATATATGAACATATTTTTTAATTATTTTAAAAAAATATGAAGATTTATCAAAAAAATATTATTTTTTTACATTCTTTTATTTAAAATAATAAGAAATTGATATTTTTTTAAAAAAAGGTAGTTACAACATATTTAAATCATCCATAACGTAAATAAAATATTGAATGCTGTCAATTAATTATATTTATTCTACTATTGAAAATATACAATAATATATTTTTATTGGATTAAATTTACATTTCTAGGTATGGGTTAATATATATTTTTTTTATTAGATCCGAGATCTAATCGATATCATTGTAATAATCAGACCTGATGCATTTCTAACTATATACTAATGACTCTTCCGTGACAAGACCATAAAAACGATATTATCTATACAACCATAAAATGTTTAATTAAAGTACCAACATTTAATATAATTATCGCTTATATATACTTGATATCCTTATTTAATCGCTGTGATATTTCTTTGAGACTCTCGTGAGATATTACCCCCTTTCCTTTGTGTTGTATACCTTTTTGGCCCTTGGCATGGTTGGATTCGAACACGTAATTCTCAGGATATACGCCGATTAGGGGATCAAGATTGGGAAATAATTTATATCGAATGGCATTGTCGTGGGAGGAGCTATTTTTATCTTTTACATCACCTTGTAATATAGAAGTAATTTTATGAAGTAAGACGGATAATAATATATACATCTTATTTATTTCTTAATAAAAATTTCTCAATAAAAATCACAATAATTTCGTTTAAATAGCATGAATTAAAATTAAATTATGCATAAAATAATTACCAGGTTTAAAATGGTTTTTGGGTCCCAAATGTAGGAGAAACAAATCCCAATGCTCGAATAAACACTCCTCTAGAAATAAAAATTTAGCGCTAGCCAAATAATATGCCATGTGATTTTCGTAGCATTCATTGCGATCGGATGCTGATAAGTGGTCATAGCATTCGTACTTGCGCAGTAGCTGATCTATCTCGGTTATGGGTTGACCGGGAAATATGGTCATGCGATCAAGATCAATCGTTACTATATTTGAAGGTGATGACGAATCGGTAGAGAACGGGTATGAGAGAGATTGAAGAAGGTTTATGAATTGCTTTTTGTATCTTTGTATAAAAAAAAATTATTTTTCAAAAATTTTTAATTCTTTATTTGGTTTAATTCTCCAATTAATTTCTCTTTTTTCTTACATTCTTTCAACATCACACATTTTCTTCCTTTTTTTTTCTTTCTTTGATTGTATCAAATGGATTGGTTAAATATGCTTTCCAATCAAGACATTTTCCCAACATGCATTATTTAATTAAGACTTAGGCAGGTAAAAATACCCCCCCCCTCTAAATTAATTATATTTGGCATAAAGTAATGTCTATATAAACTGAAATTAAAATGAGGATTTGTGTAGAACTCTTCTCTTTTCTCCAATATTTTAAAAGACGTGTATATCAGAGACTTTCATGGGCCTGGCCAACCCAAGAGCCGGTATGGGCCTAATATTATATTTTCTAACGGCCTTATGTCGGGGCTGGGTTTTTGAAAAATTATTTTAATAAGGGTTTGGGCAGGGCTTGCGCCTAAAATTTTTTCATTTAAATTTAGCTTATTTAAAACAGTAACTATAGCATATTTTTTTCTTTTAATGATTAAATTTCAATATTGTAAACAAAATGATAGCCCAGATACACTAAATAAATATGGTATTTCGTTAAATACAATGAAATAAATTGTATATGGGCTTGGGAAAAATTTTTGAAACTTATTTATGGACTTGGGAATTTTTTTTAATATTAAATCTGCGCATAACCGACCTTATGCTTATAAAAAAAATTACTGGGGGTCTGGGTTGGGCTTGAAAGGCCCTGAAGGCTTCTGGTACATATAAGTCCTTTTTCAAAAATATGGAGATTTTTTTCAAAAATAGTGTTTTTTTAAACTGATAAATAGATTGGAAATAGACATTATTTTGGATAAATATATATATCAGAGACCTGCAGAGGTACCATTTGCACGGCCCGGCCCGGTTTTAAATTTTTTAGGCCCGGCCCGGATATTTTTTTAAAATTATATTCGACCTGGTATATATAAAAATTCACCTATGAGGTATTTTACCATATTTTTCAGCGAGTATAATCGCTTATTATTTAAAAAATACATGTAAAAAGCTAATATTTTGAGAATATTATATTGAATTTATAAAAATTATAAAACTGTTATTTATAAAAATAGATATTTTGAGCATATATTATATTTTATATTGCATTTATAAAAATAAAACTAATATTCATAAAAATGGTAATAATATTTGTCATATACTATATTTTATATTACATTTAAAAAAAATAAAACTAATATTTAATTTATAAAAATGGAAAATATTTTGAGAATATAATATATTGTATTTAATTTACTATTTAATTTATAAAATAAAAATAAATCGCTATTTAAAAAAATGCATGTATAATAAATAGTATTTTGAAAATATAATCTAATTGCACAATATTAATATAATTTATTTTATAATATAAATTTTTAACAAAAGAAGATAATTGTATTATATAATATTGTAAAAAAAAATAATGAAAAATGTTGGATTAAAAACTTTCATGACTCAAGGTAAATATAATAAATGCAATAAATATTTGACAGTTTGCAAAGTAAAAAACCAGCATGATTGACGAAACCCTATACTCAAGAAAGATATTAAAAATTCACAAATTATCATGAAGAAAGAGAAGCATATCTACCTTTTCAGGTTGAAGATACACTTCTTCTTTCTTCAAGAATTCTCCCAGTAGTGGGAAAATTCCGCTCACAGCTTGCACTTGAAGCAGGAATTGCCAATTTTGCTAAAATTGGAAATTCGCTTTGATGAGCCGCCCACCACTCTAACAAATTATCCACCTTAAATGTTTCATCTATTTTTTTATTTATGTAATTATAATATTCATCATCGGGTATTGACATATTACCAGAATTACCATCACCCCATTTGTCATAAAACGATTCAGTTTGTTTAACAACAGTCGTAATTTGACTGGTCGATGGTATTTCATTTACTTCTTGAGCCTCTTGTAATTTAATATAATCTTTTATATAGTTTTCCGTCATCTTGCGATCTGTCCCTGACTACATACGTAATTGCTTGAATTTGGGACAGAGAAAAAGAGAAATAAAATGATACTTGTGTAAAACAAATTTTTCAATTAAAAAATGCTTTATATTAAGTAAAATCAATTTTATTTCTCCTTTTTCGCTTTGAAAGATATTACAAACTTTAAGAAGTGATATTCCTTTATTTGATTGTTTTGGTAAAATATATTCTTAAAATTTAGATATGAATTATAAAAAAATATATTAATAATACTTGAATATTGGGGCTTATTTAAGATATTCCTTTATTTGATTGTTTTGGTAAAATATGTTGTAAAAATTTAGATATGAATTATAAAAAAATATATTAATACTTTGAATAAATTTGCAGGAAATTAATAATTAGAACGATCTGTGGGTTGTTAGGTAGTGTTAACCATCACCCAATATTATATTAATCATAACTATAATATAATATAATCTTATAACCATTAACTCATAATGTAAAAATTTTTATAAGAAATATTAAGGCCCGGCCCGGCCCGGGTTTAACAATCTTAGGCCCGGCCCGCCGGATATATTTTAAAAAAATTTTAAGATACGGCCCGGATATGTTCAAAAAAACTTCTTAGCCCGGGCCGGGTCGAGAAATTTAAGATACGGCCGGGCCCGGCCAGGTCTCTGATATATATTAATGAAAATCAATAATGGAATCAAAAAAATGCCGATCCAAAGATTTCACGACAATAAACATGATAAAAAAAAATTGTTTATCATTAATAAAAGGTGTTTTTCATCTTTTTTATCAAATCCTTTGATAATTAATTACCTTCGTAGTTTATTCTTTATAGAAATTTGAATTTTAAAAAACAAATGGCAAAGACCTCAAAATCATGTATTAAAAAAATATGATTGATCAATACAAAATTATCTTTCTATATTAATAGCGTATTAAGAGACCAGTTTTTTTTAAATGGCGGAAGCTTATGAGATTCTTGCATAGCATTAGTAGGGAAGTGTTGTTAAACGGTTCAATTTTTGAAACAATCCAATATTTGGCCAAAAAATATTAGAAAGTAAGCCTCGAGATTTGGCAAATAGAGGGTCCACACCTTTCTGCTATCTATGCGAGAGATCTCTAGAGCCTGGAGTCGCTCATATATTGCAAAAAGTTTTGGATATCTATTAACGTAATCTCGAGGCTGGCATAATATTATTTTGGCTGTCATCTTAATTTAAAGTTATTTAAATCGAGTCGTTTAACGGCACTAAGTAGGACGATAATTTTGCAAGGAGTTACATTCTTTTAAATGATATATAATTTAATTATCAATTAATTTAAGGTATTATAATTTTATTTATGTTAAATTATGTTCATTATTGGTTTTGAAATAAATTTTGAGTGTTCATGATCACTTTTTTTAAAGTAGATATTATATAAATGTAATAGTTGAGAAAGAAATATATGTCGAAAAATAAACGAGAGTAAAAATCTAGATTATCCCTATCTCGAAATGATGAATCGATTACCTTCCCTTGTAAAATCTTATTATATATATTAGTAAAATCTCGAAAACGTTTTAAATGAATAGTAACTGATGAAAATCGCATTATAGTGCGACCTAATTAAGCATTTTCGAAAAGAAAAAGGCAAACCAGTTTGCGTGTTTTATTAAAGTTTATATATTGTTTTCAATTTGCAGGATACCTGAAATGCATTGTCTGCGTTTTGTCATTACGAACCGCAAAAGCTCAATTAGGTTAAACTATTATAAGATGAAAATTAGATAATATTTATTCATGATAAAGAAGTAATTACAGGAGAAAAAAAAATTTTATTAGAATTTTATTTTTTAAAATTTTTATCTTTATAATTTCAAAAATTAGGAAAAGAATATATAAAAATGGGCTGGAATGTATAATGATGAAAAATTCGTGCAAAGAAACTTGAAATTAGGGCAGGGTTAAAAAAAGATTTATACTATTTTTCAAACTCAAATTTTCTAATATTGGTTCAAAGTCGAAATATCCGTGTAGCGTAAACAGATTCAAAATATTCCCTATTTCAGACCCCCCCCCCCAAGGCCAGGCGTGGGTGAAGACTAGTTTATAGGATATTTTATGAAAGGGTTTGACGGCAAGCCGAAATATTTTCATCATTTCCCTCTTGTTTATTTAAAAACCCTTAAAATGCAAAATTTAATACCCTTTGAATTTTAAATAATTTAGTAATTGGTATAATATATATTATATAGTTCTACCCCAAAATATATACTCTATATAAACGTTTAATATCAAGTATATATTTTGGTCATATTTCTTCTTATTTCGCCAAAATATTTCAGTATTTTTTTCTTGTTGGGCCGATATTTATGGTGTGAAAAAAAATGTAAAATGTTATAAAATAGTTTTGATCAAAACTTCTAGTATTTGAGCAAAAATTATAATTTAATATTGAGCACGTTTAATTAATATATAAATCTATATATATTTAGAATCGCCATTGAATTTGAAGTTTAATGATGTAGATATCGATATATATCATCAAATTGCAAATTTAACGGATTATATTTTGGCCAATTAAGAAAAAAACACAGTATATATTTTGATGAAATAGGTCAAAATATATACAATGTTTAATATCCAATATATATTTTGGTGCAATACAATATATACAAATATGAAGATTCCATTTTTTTTTACTTTCCAATAAAAAAAACCTAGTGGTTGAAAAAAAAGAGATTTCTATATAAAGGCTACGTTCAATGCTGATTTACTTTTCGTAAAAGCAAAAAATATAACCGGCTAATTCGAGCCTTTATATCTTGATACATTATCGCTTACGAAACTTAAATCAGTTTTGGGGGTTCGGGTAAAGTAAAATTTTAACACTAATATATTATTTTTGTTTTCAATCGAAAAATAAGACTATCGATAAATAATCGGGATAAAATAACATCAACATTTAAACCGAATATAAACCTTTATAAAAAAATATATGAAATAAAGTAACCAACTTGGTCCTATTATCTTCGCTTATCAATTGTCGCAAATGATTATCGAAGCAAATCTGGGCTTCCTGCGTTTCGAGTAATTGCCACGGCAATAAAAAATCATTATTTTGGCGTGAATCACAAGAATTCTCAGCGTTAAAATTGTTGCTGATATCAAACCAAGGAGTTTGCGGGCTAGGGGCGAAAAAATGCTTGACAAATTCTGGGTTGCAACGAATTTGGGTAGATTTAAAATTCTTCCAATCCCTATATATAATATTTAAAAATATTTTTTATTTTAGTCAAATTAAAAATTACAAAGAAAATGTGGAGAGGAAGGGGTGGGATTAGTAAGTTTATCCATGATCTCCCTTCGTGAGCTTTGATTGTGAGAGGTGCATATTTAGTGATTTTATAGTTCGTTTGATGGATAGCTAAATAGACTGACTCTATATTAAATATAACTATATAAAGAGTAACGATATTCGTGATATCAGGTCCGTGCTTGCAGGGGCAGCCATCCTGAGCCGCTAAATTTTTCAAAATTTTAAGGGCCGCAAAATTAAAAAAAAACTATTTATTTTAAATAACCTCTTTCCAACTTTTTATATTATATTATTACACTAAACTAAAAAGTGGATCATTTAGTCGACTCAAGTCAGAGTCGTTTAGAATCAAAGCTAAGTCGACTCGGCTTATCCGCTTAACAATACTATTCCAGAATATATATATATATATATCTATGTTAATTTTTTATAGTGAATTGTACATAATGGAAAGAGAGAGCAAATTTGATTCAGGTGTTAAAAAAAGAAATTGAAAAATTGCTAACCGAATTTATTAATTCACAAAGGGGGGTCCTTATTAAAATATTTTAGGAAAATCTTTTGCTGTTCAACAAGACGGTAGTAGAAATGGTACATCAGTTTAGTAATAAAGAGATCAAAATATAAAATACTACAGAAATCAATAATTCATTTTTTTACAAACTAGGAAGCAATTGATTTGTTGTCATTGGTTACAGAACCGAATGAGCCATATCGAAAACTGGTAATGATAATGTTTATCGTGATTTAAATACAATAAATTAGGTGGGGAGGGGGGGGGGTGATAATAGTGAATGGCCGACACCGCTTTAAAGATACTCAACAATTTTTGTAGCCATGAGTCGAAAATTTTAATTTAAATTCTATATCTTGCTTTCTTTAAATTGCTCATAAATCGTTTTTATTAATCAATATAATAAAACGAATATATCTTATCCAGCATAAATAATCGGAGCGAATATTAATTTAAATAAAATTAACATATAATATATTCAAATTTACCTCTCATGTTTTAGGCTAGTCAGACTAGGAAAAAGAGTTTTGAGAACACCGGTTTCAAATAGGGCAAGTAATTCGAGGGTTCGGCTCTTCAGTTTAGCCGCCATAAGACTAGCCACGCGCTCCTTTAGCATTTTTTCACACTCTCGTCTACCTAATGTTAGCAAAGCTGTCTTAACCACCGGATTTAAATGTTGATATCGGTTTTTATTGCGCAAACTCCAGGAACCAGACAATTTTTGAAATCGTTTCCTTTCCGACGATGAAACAGGCGAATGATCGTGAAAGCTTCTGGCTTTAATTTTGGAGGTTTATAACAAATAATATCGAAATTTTAACAAAAATCCTTGAATAAAATATTCCTTGTGCATAGTTAAGGACAACATATATATATGCAATTAGACACTATCTTATTCTACTTATATGTTTTATGTAATTTAAATCTATAAACTTTGATCAAAATTGTCGAAAAGGCTTGAGGCGCTGGGTAACCTTTGAGGCGATTCAAATCGGTCTAAAAAGCTCAAAAAGTCATTCGCCGCTCGGGCCCGAGTTTGCCGGTTTTCTGATAATCCTTCGGTGTAGGTGGGCACAACAAACCGCTTAAGGTAAGCCTTATAAGCCGAAGAATCAAAACTACTGTTGTTGTCTTTTTTGTTATTCCATCGAACACCGCTATAACCAATTTCAAATTGCGAGTAAAATAGATCTGGCATGATAAAGCCCCGGGCTTTTAAAACCAATTTAACAAGTGCCAGAAAGGGGGCGACGACGTTGATGTTAGCATGGGCCGAAGTGGCTATAACCGGTATACGTTGAGCGGTACTTCCCAGGGTACGGCTCAGGGTTTCCTGAATATACTTCTCCAGCTTATCAATCGAACCTGTGTCGTTTTTTGACTCGTCCTTGATACAGAGGTCCGCTTTGGTTATGGCTATAAGGTAAGGTTTATGTGATTTTCGAGCAGCCGCGATTACCCCCTTAACTAAACTCAATTGTCGTTCGCCAAGACAGGCATAGGGCGAAAAACTGGGATTGATCGTAGATGAATCACAACAAATTAGAAAAGCGTCTATTTGTACAGGTTCGTTTGGGAAGGGAACTTGTTCATACTCGTGTTCTATGCCTAAAAAATTAAAGAAATTTATTAAGTTTTGGGATGAATAACCATTTTTAATAATATTTAGTTTGATTAAACTCTCCTCAAGTAGATAAAATTTCCTGAAACGTTATACCTTTTTTATAAGCACATTCAGTTACTATTATAATTCGTGATGTACCTATTTTATAAAAAAAAATATATATCGAATGGAACTCTAATCCTTCATTCATTCATTTTTAAGAACATGGGGTATCGGGTATCAAAATTGAAGGTGAATTATTCATAACATAATTTTAAAAAATAATTTTAATTGTAAAACACCCATGCTTTATATCTATATATTCATCTTGTTAATATATTTTTGATTTATTCTATTGTCTATGGACGATTTCCAATAATAATTATAAATCAAATCAAAGATGTTGATATTGGATATGATGTCTCTCGAACCCATAATTAATACTCTCGATCAAAGTCTTATGTTTATTGTGACATTTATAAAGGTTTATAAATTGTAACCAATATTTTTCCAGACTAAATTTGTATATGTTTGAAATGATACAACTAGTCTAGTTTAGACCTTGCATTTGACATACTTTACAGGGTAAACATCTTTAATATATTTTCTTGAGGGAAAGTTTATAAAAATATATATAATAGAAACAACCCCAAATGGACCCTTAAGAATTCTATGTAAACAAATATACATATATAAATAATGTTGATCCATTTTAAGGGCCATCACTGTAAAACTCATGAAAGGTGATGATTTTTATTTTCAACTTCTAGTTTTTATATAAAATAATTATTCCATCTTTAATAAAAAAAAAATTTTTAAATCAGAAAATCAAATAGGCGGATGGATGATATATTCTTTTTAAAATAATTTTTAAAAAAATTAACTTATATTCCATAGGCATTATGGAGTTAATTTTAATATTATCTATAATAATCCACTTTTGAACCAAAATACTATATATCTCTTAGATTTATCAACATAGTGGGATGGCAAAAGCGGTAAAATCGTTTAATAAAGGAATATTCATATTGTATTGTTGTAAACCCTCCTTTTTCTTTAGTAAAATAAAATAAAAAGTAATATATGTAGGGTTTAATATTATATTATATATTTTATCGTATTATTATTATGCATACTCAATCGATGTAATTCAAACTTTTTATTAGGTGTTGGTTGTCCTACATATTTTTCCATAAAAAAAATTTAAATACCTTTATCACGGATTCGTTATTTTCATTTTACACTCTTATAAAATCGATATTATTTTTTTTTAATCGTATTTTTATACTTTATAATTTGTTGAGTCTGCCTTTGTTGTATTATCCTACACATATTTATTATATATAATAAAAATTTTAAAATACACACTCATAAAATTAAGAAATTGAAATGTCAAGATTTTAAAGTCACAAAGAACTCACCTCATTTCGCATGGCACCCTTTTTTCATATCTTGCTGTAAAAATTTTAGAATTTTCTTTGTAAACTGAAAATCAGTAAAAACAAATTTAAAAAAAGAAAGAAAATTAGCTAATTCCTTCTTCAAACGCTTTAAATATTTGAAGAAGTTAGGTTTAAGAAGGAAAAAAAGTCTAATAATTAACCTAGGGTTACTTAATCAGACTTTCAAATTCAAATATTTTGAAGGATTATTTTTTTGCGCCTTTTTGAACTCGACCATATTTTATAAACGGTAGGATCTTTAACTTGAAATTATTCTTGTAAAGTAGAAAAAATTTTAAGCAAAAATCTTAGAAGATCAAGTATTATCTTTTATAATTTGTGATTTCATCGTGAAAAAATTCTTGTTGGCAAAAAAAAAATTAAGAAAAGATTTAATAAAATTAATTTTGTTAAACGGATCGATTTGAGCCGATTTTTAAAAAAGGCTAGCTTAATATTTTATCCAGAAAAATATTGCCTAAACCTCGAGGTTTCGCTAATAGATGTTAATACCTTTGTGCCATATATTTCCAAAATCTTTCTGTATAAAATATTGAGTTAGCTGTTTTAAAAAATCGGCTCAAATCGAACCGTTTAACAACACCAACTAAACTATACACATACTTCCGTTATTTTTAAAGTTTCCTAATTTTATTTTTTTTTACTTTTGTGTTAATTCTTTTTTAAAAATATTTTTCAGAAATTCTCATATGTTCAGATTAATATTTAAAGTTTTGACCACTTATTTTAATAGATTATAAATTTTGGGGCAAAATTTGGATCAAAAATCCTGTTGCGTTATCGATTTTTTTATTTTGAGTAGTTTGTGAAACCCTGAATAAAATAAATATTTTAAATCAAATCAAGTGGGCAAATAGTATAAGAAAGTATTTGCCAACCAAAATAATTTCAAAAAAACATAAATGTGTTCCTCTTTGTTCAGAGTTGAATGTTTTCAAGAGATAAAGGGGAAGATAATTCGTAAAAGTTTTTGATATTATTGTAAATTGTAAATAAAAGATTTATACCGGCCTTGATTTTTTTTAAATATATTATATTTATTTTTAATTTTTATAGCTAATAATAACGATTTAAAATATATTGGTTTTAGACCTGGTTTTTTTTAAAATAAAATTTTCAGGCCATGCCCGGTTCGGGTATTTAAAAAAGACATTTCAGGCCTCGGCCCTGATATATTTAAATACGGCCCGGCCTGGCCTGCAGGTCTCTGATTATTACATTTTTTACCCGAGTCAACGAAAAATTTAATATATCATCTAATACGTTTGATAATGTACGAAAATATAGATTACTAAAAGAGATTGTTTTTCAGTACTTGTTTATATAACTTATTTATTCGATTATATATATATTGTTTTCTTTATCAATTTTTAGTTGCTACTTATAGATAATGAAAAGTTTAAATTTTAAATTTATTGGTTGAAAAAATTACAAAATTTTACATTTTTTATGTATTTATTATAATCTTAATTTAAAATATCAAAATATTTAAATTATTTGATTTTTGATATTATTTATATAAATATATAATTAAATATATATCCTATAGAGGGCGAAATATATTTTATTAGTATTTTTGAAAGTTGAAATTTTTTTAAAATTTGTTTAAAAAAGGATGGAATTATTGAAATTTATGGGAAACAAGTTTTCTTTGCTTTAAAACACTTTGTAGTAAGAAATCAATAATTATTTTTAAACTATTTAGTAAATAATCATGATACTTGACAGAGCACCAAGTCAACACGTGGGGAGGTCTTATTCATGATTAAAATATAAAATAATACCTTTATAAAATGGCGCACAAATGTTAGCTAAGAGGGTCCGGTCCCTCTGAGTTACCCTCAATAAAAACTTGCAGTGCAAGTGATAAATCTAGGAAAATAATTCCAAATCCCCGTTTTTTAAGATATTAAAAACTACAAAATTAATAAAATAGGGAGAATTCCCTATAAATATATCCAAGGAATAAAAATCCTCAAATCATATTTTCAAATTTTAAAAAATTTACTTCCGGAGAATTATTTTCTAAGAATTATTATTGGGGATTTTTTTTTCCAGGGAATTATTTTCCGCTTATACATATGCTTAGTTGTTCACCAGTCATGAGGAGGCCTATATTAAAACTGGGGATAACTTATAACATTCATAGCCAGAGTTTTAATATTATTGGGGTTTCCTTCGTAACGCCTGTTCAAAATGAGGTATTATGAAATGGACAATCAAAGGAGCATTCCAGTCTCTTTATTAATAATATTGCCTTTTTTACTTTTTAATTCATAAAGTGTTTATTTTGTTCCACTTCCATTTTGATTTTATCAAATAAAATTTTCACAAATAAATTTTTAGTAAACGTTTTTTTTAAAAAATTTTTTAAAAAATTAATATTATATAAGTTCCGATCATTTGTTTTAATGATTTGAAATTGGGAAAAATTTGATCAAAAATTTTGGGTAGAGCATTCTTGTTTTTTTATTTTGAGTAGTTTAGTTTATGAAATCCTGAATATTTGAAGCCAAAATTTTGAAATCAAATCAAGGAGTCATTAAATTATAAGAAGCATAGAAATACGATAATCTAAATGGCATTTTAATCTAGTGTAAGTTGCCTAAGTAACCCTATTAAAAAATCTAAATTAGTTTTTTATGTTATTTTGTTTAAATGTGGTGTATATCAGAGAGCTGTAAGTCCGGCCCTAAGCCCGGCCTGTATTTTAATTTTTTTAAATATACCCGGGCAGGGTCTAAATTTATTTTTTCTAAAAAAATTTTTAGATGGTCAAATACTCAAAAATGTTATTGGTGAATAAATATATTGACTTATATCAATCTAATTATGTTAAAATTTATTTAAACATATATAAGTCATCAAGGCATAGATTAAATTATAATTTTATAAAATATAAAATATAAATTTTTCATATTAAAATATTAGAATTCTTTTGAAATATCGGGACCTCGGGCAAAACGTGTTAAGTGTTTAAGATACATATTTTTGATGAGTAGATTTATATCCTAAGAAGCAGACCTATATTTTTTTTAACATAAGAGTATAAGTAATATCAAATGAAAGCTACTAAAAAATGAATGCTAAATCAACTCTAAGTCCTTGGTAGTTTATGAGAAAAGCATGTAACAGGACAGCTTAAAAAATGATATTCTTGGTTTTAAAAATAAATACTTCAAAATAAAATAACCACTATTAGCAAATGATTTTCGCGATAAAAGTTTCACTGTAATTTATTAGCTTTAATGGGCTCGTGATAAGGGTTTCGTTTAAAAAATTTATGATATGTTAATATGGATTAACGATAATTTTACTATAAAATCTATTTGCTATAAAATACATTCGCGAAGTACCAAACATCCTGGAGCTTACTAATTTATCATCAGATGATGCCCTAAAGCCAGATAGTTTAACTTCTACCTTGGTCTTAGGTATATCATTAATTTGGGATTTATTCGGTTGATATAGTAGAGAAAAAAAAATAATATTCTAAATTAAAAAAATTATGTTTTTTATTAATCGTTATCTCTCCCCGACAT